TCCCACTTCAAATTCACATCATCATCATCATCCAGGAGCCTTTTATATACACACCTCAAAGTAAGTGTACTTTACTACTGTTTTTGTTGACTTTAGGCAATTTTCGGTGGGCTGGAACCAATTACCCAAAAACCCATTGAAACAATGGTTTCGGTTAACGAGTTTTTCAGTTAACGAGCAACCTTCTGGAACGGATTGTGCTCGTTAACCGAGGGACCACTGTAATCTAATCCATCTTATATGAAAGACTGCTTACTTGATGTTAAATGTCAACACAGTACAGTACAGTACAGTACAGTACAGTACAGTACAGTACAGTACAGTACAAGGTATGTGACTGCCAATAAAATTACTTAGAATAGCATCTCATATTAGTTATTCAGGGTTCTGCCATGAAAACTTTTGTAAGTACAGTACTATAGTGGCCATTTACACTTACAGTATTCCTCTACTTGACATGATCAACTTGTGCAGTATTATAATAATTTTGAAAATTTATAAAATAATGAATAAAGATGAGAAATATGTTGAGAGTGAAGTTGTAGGAGAGATACATGGATGGAAATTACACAGCCTTGGTACAGATATTTTTAACGTTTTGGATGATAAGTCGGCAAATACGATTCACAGTAAATGATAGAACGGTAAATATAGGTAGAGGTAGACCACGGGGCATATGGGTCGAGCCAGTAACTACACTGGCAAGAGTTACGGTATGACTGACCAAATACTGGACTGAGTTGGTAACTAGTCTTTCAGGGCGAGAGTTTTCTTTGGAATAAACCAGAGGAGTAACTAGTTGTTTTGTTTCCCTGGTGTCATAATGGATGGGTTATTTATTCTGCTAAAGGAGTGAACATAGAGTGAGGAAAAGAGAGAAGAATCTTGGACAAATGTGAAGAAGTGAATGATGACCAAAGGCTTGCAGATGGATATATCTCATTACTTAGACTGATCTAGGATTTTTTAAGGGAGTTGGATGGTTACCAAACGTTTCTTGCCAAATACTGTAAAGACCAATGAGAATCAGGAATAACTTCTATTAGCAAAAAAGTTATTAAATCTTAATTTTAATAATAAAAAAGTGTGTACTGAATGGTTGCTATAGCGACATTATTGTTACAACAAAGTGGGTTTTTTTATTTTTTATTCAAGGATGGTGGAACATGGAGAAGGGGGGCAGGGGAGCATCATACAGTACTGTATATTGTACTTGCCTTGACAATGGGGAAGCATTTAAAGTAAACCCTGAGAGGGCCACTATTCATACACTTAAGTTTATATTATACTGTAACTTGGTTTAAATTTTGAAAACAATTCTTGGTGCTGGTGGTTCCTCATCCTATACAATATAAAGACTAACTCAAATCTTCAGGTGACAGAATCATATCCTGTGCCAGTAATGGTTTAAAACAGGTATTAATTTGACATAAACTCAGGTATGGCAAAGGGCAGCACATTCTTTAGAAGGAAGGAGGAAACTAATGACCAAAAGTTGGCCATAAAAGCATTAAATTGGGACTATTAGTGACTAACACCCACAAACTGAGCTGTGTTAACTGTATAGCATATACTGTATATACTCGTCTATAACCCCCCCTCGTTTATAGGTCGACCCTGATTTTTTGACCAAGAAATCGTTAATTTACAATATTCCTCGTTTATAGTTCGACCCACGTTTTCGAGGGTAATGGAACAACAAAACCTTCACTAAAAATGCTCTACGTCCTATAAACTGAGGCTCGCCGTGCATGAAACACGAGTGCCGAAGGCAAATTGTTTACCATTTATTATTACGACACTTTACACTGAAACGCGGGTAGTTTCAACAAAAATATTGTATATTTCCATTCAAGTATTTATTCAAGTCAATTAGGAGGGAATATTATTGTAATGCAACAGTTCTTTAACTAAACCATTTGAAAAGCGATTACGGTAACATCTTTTGAACGAAAGAAAGCGAAAGTCATTGTTTTCGTCACGATTTTATCCCACTTTCCACTGTAATACGTACGTAATTTCAGTAAAAATATTACATTTCCGTGAATGTATTATATCAAGCACAGTATGAATAGAATATCATCGTAATATAACAGAATTTTAACCGAAAACTATTAAAAAAACGAGTAACATTTCAAGAACAGAAGCTTAGGTAAAGTCTTTTGTTTTCGTCATGTATTTTATCCTATTTTACATTGAAATACATCACGTTTCAGCAAAACTACTATTTATTTCCGAGAATATATTCATTCAGGAGCAGTTTAGGTAAAATATAAGTGTGATGTAATAGTTTTTTAACTGAAAACGATTCGAAAAACACGTACCCTCTAGCCCTGTTCAAGGAGAGGACTGGGAGAAGCTGTTTGGTGCTGCAGATGATGACAAGGAAAATGATTTTGATGGATTTTAATGAAAATATTCAGAAATATGGTATCGTAGTATTTATTCAAGTCACTTAGGATAGAATATTATCGTAATACAACAGTTTTTTAACTGAAAACCATTCGAAAAGCGATTACGGTAACATCTTTTGAACGAAAGAAAGCGAAAGTCATTGTTTTGTCACGATTTTATCCCACTTTCCACTGTAATACGTACGTCATTTCAGCAAAAATATTACATTTCCGTGAATGTAGTATATCAAGCACAGTATGAATAGAATATCATTGTAATATAACAATATTTTAACCAAAAACTATTAAAAAAACGAGTAACTTCTCTTGATCATCGGAAGGTTAGGTAAAATCTTTTGTTTTCGTCATGTATTTTATCCTATTTTACATTGAAATACATCACATTTCAGCAAAACTACTATTTATTTCCGAGAATATATTCATTCAGGCACAGTTAAGGTAAAATATACATGTGCTGTAACAGTTTTTTAACTGAAAACGATTCGAAAAACACGTGTACCGTCTAGCTGATACAGCTGGTGGTGCGTGATGCGTTGTTGTAAACAATAGGAGGTTGAAGTAGATTACCGGGTATTATATTAAGTGTGAAATATCGAAAAGGTTTTTAATACCGGTATTTTTTGTAGATCAATGAGAACTGTGATACAGTATATGATATGATAAGTTAGCCTGTGCTAAGAACTTCAACATAGACTACTGAAAGCACGTTGTAAGGTAATTTAGCCTATTGTAAGTTGGTGAGCTTCATTTACTGAAGGAACTGCACAACTTTTCATTACTAATTGGTACATATTTTACGTTTCCATTGTTTACTGGCAGTAAATGGTAAATATTTTTCATGTCTGAAGCTAAAAGTTGCTCCTCGCCCTTCCCATCATGCACGGGTTCAACCTAACAAAACTATTACACATGTATAGGACGACCCCCAATTTTTTGCCTAAAAATTTGGTCTTAAAAACTCGAACTATACACGAGTATATACGGTAGTAATTAACTTAGGTCAAACTGGTAGTTTGATCATTAAGAGCATGGAGGACCTCCCAAAACTTGCTCTTGGTAAATTATAAGTCTGACTATGATTGTACGTACAGTAATTATCATTATTTTTTGGGATATTTTTTCCCTATTCAGCAGCATGGGTAAAATAAAATTATATCTATTACCCGGTCTTTACACAAGGATAAATGGTAATTTACATTTTGATCACATTTTGAGACAATCAAGTCTGTGATTACTTAATGTTCTTGTTCCTATACTGTTGTAATTTATCAATCAGTGAGAAATAAAACTCGTTAAATCCTCATTGATGTACCACTGAAGGCCCACATCACATTTTGCAATTCAAATATTGACAAGACAAGACAAGAGAATTTACAATAAAGAATAGTGTACTAGTATACTAAATAAAATGGGAAGTGACAACAGAGTCTGGCTTACAATTTATTTTTGTTAGAGACCTGGTATGCCAAAAGACTTCGCACAAAATAAACAGCTGTTATACACACAAAACAAATTTTGTCATGGTATGCAAGTACAGTGACTGCAGCAAGAGAGAAGGAATACAAACCAAAGCTAAGATCATTCGGTTAGGTGAGGTTTGTACTTGCAGTCATAAGTGATTATTTTATATATTGTATAGGCATTGCCAATCTGACTTTCTAACAACTATAAAGTGAGAGGTGGACCATCAGTCTACACAACCTACTAAAACAAGCTACATGAGCCTTGGTCTACACTATTCACCAAGACTGTCCCCTAACACTGTTCAGTCCCCTTTGAAGGCTTCTACTGAGGTGAATAAAAACACAATGAGTTGGTAACTAACAAACCAAAGGTTGGTGTTGATTATGACGTCACAATGACCTCTACATAGAAACACACGTGTGTGTGTGTGTGTGTGTGTGTGTTGCGTGTGTGTGTGTGTGTGTGTGTGTGTGTGTGTGTGTGTGTGTGTGTGTGTGTGTGTGTGTGTGTGTGTGTGTGTGTGTGTGTGTGTGTGTGTGTGGTGTGTGTGTGGTGTGGTGTGGTGTGGTGTGTGTGGTGTGGTGTGGTGTGGTGTGGTGTGGTGTGTGTGTGTGTGTGTGTGTGTGTGTGTGTGTGTGTGTGTTCTGTGTGTGTTCTGTGTGTGTGTGTGTGTGTGTGTGTGTGTGTGCAAAGAACAACTAGGGCAATACTGTGACATAGATCACAAGGGGCAAAATATTATAAGAAAGACTAACACCAAAATGTGCAGGTCAATGGTAAATGTAACACAAACACTTCAACTACTGTATATGCAATTTTTCTTTTGGTTCATACTAAGTACTGTACCTATTTGGCCCCCTGGATCATGAGGGTGAGGGGACTGTGGCAATACAAACTGGTGGCAGTGAGGAGTAACTCGGTGTCAACTCTAACAGAAACTAAACATGAATGGAAGAAACATCATAATACCGGTAATTAATCTTTACGAACAAAAAATGCAAATCAAGATATGTGGTGAATTTGTATTCATAATGGTTTATATTTAGCAACTATCACATTTTATACGATTACTGTACAGACATACGTTAAGCAGACATTCTAATTTATAGAGCGAATACTTACCTTATGATCCCCCATTGTGGTGTTTAAGCCAATGAGGTTGTACGTCACCTTTCCTCCACTCTGAAAAATATAAAACAGCACATGAAGTTTGACTATGGGGTATATTCTTTTCATCACTATTCTCTAGTCTTTTCCAAAAGCCATTTCTTATCATTAAGTTATTGTAGGTTTATGGTCTAGCAAACTAGAATTCCCAGTTGTTCAATTATCTTTATTTTTCTTTCACTCTTGTATGGGGTGGACAATAGAGGTAAGAGTAAGGATGTAAATACTAAGACAGAGAGGTGCAAGACAAGCATACAACGTCACATGAGAAGGCTTATAATCTGAACTTGCATGTACAGTTGGGGACCAAAGTTTGCTCCCTCCCAAAATGAAGCAGCCACACCCTCAAACGAGATACGCATGGACCAGACAGAATACCCCCCGTGTTCTGAGGGAGTGTGCTGAAATTCTAGCCCCTGTGCTTGCTTGCCTCAATGACTGTTGGCTGGCTGCTTTAAGAAGTGTTACGAAGTCAAGTTTGCCCACAACCATGGGGAGAGTGCATCGGCTGATGTGACAGCATAAAAATATCTACCTGTCTTTTAAGCTCTTGTGAAAGAGGGTGGTTATTGCTGAGACCTTATCTTCAATTGTGATGAAACTGGCATTTTCTGGAATCATTTACCTAAGACCACTTTCATTGCCAAGGATGAAAAACAGGCAAAGGGTGGAAAGACTTCACTGTGCTGCCTGTCCTAGAACCTACCGTCATGCCAATATGTCGCAGATCAATGTCATTGGACGTCTAATAAGAAAGCTTGGGTTACGTTGTCTTTCTGCACCGATTGGTTTGACAAGCACTTTGTTCCCGACGCCCAACAGTACTGCCGGAGGAAGAACATTGACTTCAAAGTGATCCTGGTGATGGATAATGCTCCTGGACACTCTAAGTTTCTAATTGGACGTCACCCTAATGTACAAGTTATCTTCCTTCCTCCTAACACCACATTGCTTCTGCAGCCACTTGACCATGAATTCATCGGTAATGTTAAACTGTTCTACTATCAGTTACTCTAAAAAGACTTTTTAGAGTACTGTACTGTACTGTACTGTACTGTACTGTACTGTACTGTACTGTACTGTACTGTATGTACTGTACTGTACTGTGCATGTAACTGTGTTAGTCCTCTCCTGTTACTTACTACATTTGTCTTGTCTCTCTCCCCTTTTATTTCTCTCTCTTTCTTTGAGGTTTCTGTATCCCTTGATCATCTCACACAAAACTGGGAGAAGGACGAAGATAACACATGGACAGATAAACTTACAGCATCGACAAGCTTCTTAGCTGCCTTGTCCAGGATGATTCTGTCGCACCAAGATGGGCACCGGGTCTGCATGTAGTGGGAGCCCTCACCGTCAGCACCTTCGATAAATGGATAACTTGGAGGGAAGCTGACGGGAAATTCAGTGAGCCTATCACTAAACTGAGTCAATTCTTGGTCAAACTCGTGGAGCTGCAAAATAAAAAGTATATGTATTACCAAAAGATGCTAAGTTCAGATGTTTGGGTCAATGTTCCCTCAGTCAACTTATCAATGAAATGAATTAATTGTTTATCAGACAAATACAGGGTGTCTACTGACCAGACAAAACAAAATTCCCTGGCTTTTCCAGGTTTTTCAGGTGCAAATTTGAAAAATTCCAGGTACATTAACACGACATTTTGGCGCTAGATGGGACAAAAATGCACTAAGTTGGCAACCCTGAATAACACCAGTGCTGTTCACTGGCGATTTGAGTCACTGCTTCGGTCGGCTGTTCATCCGGCGCTAATATTGCAGGTCACTTGCCGATCATTTTTTTTTTTATTGCAACTGGTCTACTGGACTGACTATTTTATTTAACCAGCTATGATTAGGATGATCAATAGGCTTAGTAAGGAGCATTAGGGCCCCCCCCCTCCATATCTTTCTCCTCAAATTTGTGTAATTCACGTGGGTCGACCTGGATGTTCCCCCAAAAGCCGGAAATCCAGCAAAAAAAAAAAAAAAAAAAAATCACACGCCTGATCCACCAATATGACTCATGATAAATATGTGGAATAATCCATTTAAATGAAGTCACTTAATTATAAGAACAATTTATCTCTGACAATATTCATTGTAAAACTCGTAGGTATAACCTGTAATATTTGGTTATTTGATCACTAACATGAAATATGAGAGTTACACAAACAATTCAGTTATTGGAGTGGACTACTTACAGGAATTTGTTCCTAAAAGTTTAATTATTTATCTATTATAAAGTATAGCATTAATTAATGGTAAGATTGCTGTCAAAATAACAACTCATTTTGTAGTGATTTTAACTCTGTACCCAAAACAAATGAGTTCAATCTTGTGGTCTGGCAAAGGTAATGAGGTGTCATTCTGCTGTGGTAACAGCTGAGCAGCCATCAACCATGTTAACAACGCCAAGCTTATCCTTCAGGTCATCCCAACAATTATGTGAAACATAGGATGTCAGATCATAACTTAATAGGTGAAACCCCCAAAAAACTTTTATTACAAACAAATTTAGCTATCAATCTAAATAACTGATGTTTCTTAAACATCTTCCACTTTATCTACGAAGACAAGATATTACTTTGACTCAACAAAAATACTCTAGCACAGAGCCTTTTTAAACATTCCTAACAACATAACTAACCCAGCTGCCATTGTCCTTGAGGAAGATATTCTGATGATCGAAGTGCTTGAAGGACTTCTTGGAGATGGTGAGTTGAGCCTTCCCCTTGTTGTCCCTAAACTCCTGGGCTTTTTCACCTGAGTCTGGCAGCTCTGTGTCCACCACTGTACATCCCTGGGTCAGTTTCTGAGTAAAGATTGCAGTGTCATGACATTCTTGGCTAAACCTTTTGCCATTTTAGTTAGAGCTACAATCACCTAACTGACAAAATGACCCACACAGAAAATTTTACTCCCATTTCCCTTGTCAAGAATGACATTGGGAGAGGTTGTAAAAAATGACAGTTCCTGACAAGAGACTGTGCAGCATGGAGAGCTGCCATCAAGTAACTACGGCTAACCCACACAAGCAGGTAAAATGACCCTAAAATGTAGATGATGATTAATAGAATAAAAAACAAATTCCAAAGAAATAGAAGTACAGTGAGTTCTGCTATAACGCGTGTTTTGATAACGCGAATTTGCTCTAACGCGATTTATGAATTCGGAACAATATTTGTATAACGCGAACGCCTGTTTGCTATAACGCGATTTTTGCTTACTATTTCTCCAATTTTGTGGTATTAACTGTGATTATGGTAAAGAAGAATATCTCCAAAAAGCGTTCTGATGATAGAATTCCCGGTGATTATCGTAAAAGAAAGGATATAACACTTGAAGAGAAGCTCGATGTTATCAACCTCAAAATCACCCTTCTCCCCCATCAAGTTACATTCATATTTTTTCAAGGTAAAGTGTTACATTTACTGTATGATTTCATTATTAGATATGAATGTAACATTTATTTAGACTATGCTATCCTTTGTGTTAGGCTAACTACTAAATTTTTTCGATTTCGAGTAATCTGCACCTAACCCTATTTTCTCCATAAGGCCTGTTATTTCTATTACGCGATTTTCTATAACACGATATTTTACAAGAACACAATTATCGCGTTATAGCAGAACTACCTGTACTGTAACATTTACCCATACTATGACAACTGACAAAGTTTCTTTATACTGTACATGTATTTTGAGCCAGAACTCAAATGTTAATAACGTACACTTGTGACCTTCTCTTAGGTTACATCACATAAGGATCACCGAGTCTAAACAGGTTTCTGGAGTTACCTGAACAGCGGCCTGGGTGTTCAGTCTGAAGTTGAAGTCTCCGAACAGGAAGATTGGCACATTTTCAAAGCTGTCATTATGAAATCTGAGAATAAACAAAGATTTACTTATTTATGTATTTATTTTTTGGCTGCTTTAAATCTAGAATGAAATCACTCATATGAAAATAGTTCTTAAAATATCAAATATAAATTCAAAATCTATTAAGAATTCGCTGAGATATTAGAGAGATATATGGAAACTTTAAAACAGACAATATGAATGATTATAAACATTACCTCTGTCACAATCATAACATGGCAATTGATTTACTTATTATTATTTTGCAACTTCCATTTATACAGTACAGGTAACAGGAGGCACATACCTAAGTATAGTCTAATTCCAGTTAAGATTCTGTCTATTATCTACACTTTGTTCCCATATTTTGTGTGAGGGAGATTGACTTTTGTGTGAGGGAGATTGACTTTTGTGTGAGGAAGATTGACTTTTGTGCGTGGAAGATTAACTTTTGTGCGAGGAAGATTAACTTTTGTGCGTGGAAGATTAACTTTTGTGAGAGGAAGATTAACTTTTGTGTGAAGAAGAAGATTAACTTTTGTGTGAGAAAGATTAACTCTTGCATGAGGAGAATCAAAGGATAATAGAAGCTCAAAGGGAGAGAAATCACCGAGGCAAAAAGTGCAAGACTAAGTGTAGCATAATGTGAGAGTGACGCAGGAAGACAGAGAGATGTCCCGAATACAAGGCACCCCAGTTTACCTTACCCGATGATTAAACACCCTAATTATCCCGGGGGGGGGGGTTTGGTTAGGTTATCATTAGGTGAAATAATCTGATCTGTTAAATATTTCAGTGGTCCAAAAAATAAGATTATAAGAGCAGTATCAGGAATGAATCATTTATTTTTACTTTTACAAATCCTTTCCCACAACCATTAGCAGATTGGCTGGGATGGAGCACGCACGCACACTCTATTTTCTCTAACTTGCTTGATGAGAGAGAGCGAGACAAACTTCATGGATGTTTTAAAGTCAACTTAAAGTCAACACTTCCACACCTCTCTGATTTCTCTTTATCTATTTGCTTTTATTGAACTGTTGCTCAAAGTGACTCCTGTCTTCATCCACTCATCATTATTCTCAAACAGTCCTTCTCCAGTCATTCCTCTTGTGTCTTTCAAAGGGAGGAGACTGATGAGAAAATAAGGGGAATAAACTAACCCAGCAGCTAGAAATATCTCCCCCCCCCCCACACACACACACACCTGCATGCACACTTGATAGCTTTAACTTGTACACATGGTATAAAAAGTAAGTCAATAACATCTACACTGATTCACACAAGTCAAGTGTCAACCTTCAATAAGAATTCAAATTTTTTTTAGAAAACTTTTGGTGCTTAGTAAGTCCAAAACATCTACAGTATGTGTGTCTTTTTCATTATCCTGTATATGGTATATATGTCATTTTAGTACAGTGTATCTATATGCTTGTTTAGTACAAATAAACCTGTCTAGTATATGTCTAATGCTTAATATATACCTGTCTGATACCTGTCTAGTACAAATAAACCTGTCTAGTACATATTATATACCTGTCTAGTGTATGTTCCAGTGCTCTCTTCCGGTTGAGGCTGTATACTGATGGAAACTGCAAATAATTAAAATAAACATTTAAAAACAATGACTGAACACAAAGCACCTTATTATCACTAAACTTAAGACAACAACATGTACTGATTATCTCAACAATCTTTAAAAGCTTGACATACTTGCATGACTTCAATTATTCCCAATTTTAGATTCTTGATACTTTTTTGTATCAAGAATAGCATCACTTACCTCTTCCATGGCAATAAAATTTGAGGCATCATGGAAAAGGTGGATGTTCACCAGATCGAACTTTGTACCGTTTAAACACCACCGCGTTCTCATGAAACCTTTGCGAGACCACTTGCACTGAAAAGGTGAAATAAAAAAATAAAATAAAATACTTTAGAATGTAATTTCTATGTAGGTTTGAGCAAGCTGAAATGAAAATGGTGTTGTAGTGTGATTTTGAAAGACATGAAACCCTACTGAAGGCATTGGTGAGATTAGGCATTGAGGTAAACTGAGAGGGTTTAGGATGTGGAGGGGAGGAGAGCCAGGGGTAGGCCAAGAATGATGTATGGAAAAGTTTTATGAAATAACCTCAGAAATAAGAACCTGATGAGAGAGACTGCAAGAGACTGTGCACCATGGAGAGCTGCCATCAGGTAGTCATGGTAAATCCACTCAAACATGGAAAACAGCCATAAAATGATGAGGAAGATGATGATAAATAACACTGGTCTGATCTCTTAATGCACTTTTTATTTCCTTAAAACAAAAGATGTAATGTATTCATCAGGTGTACTGTTGATGCCTCAGAACTCCTGTATCTAAATTATATTTCTGAACAAAAAGGAATGAATGCATCAAAATGTTCATAAGTGATTCTGTTTGTCATCCCAACATGTACCTCAAATTTCTGAAGGACAAACTTTCTACAAAATATCAGCAAATATATCCTTTCTTTTCCTCTGCTCTCTCCACCTTCCTCCTAATATACTAGCCCCCATGCTGTGTAGGATAAACCTAAAATCTGAATCCTGTTCTGGTAAACTCTAAGTTTAGTTACCTTCCTGGCATCTTGGATATCAGGAGACCTTATAACTTTCAGGCCCTACATTCACACATGCATATGGGTGTACTGTATCTTATTAACATATAAAAAGAATTTTAGAAGGTGACTGATATAAAAATTGACTACCAATGTATCAGGTAACCAGTCAAATGGCCCATTGTCCTCCTGTAGCCCAAACTAATATTTAAACATGGTTTCAATCCTAAGAGTGAGACTAATGAGGCTGGGGTACTGTGACCAGCAACTTTGTATAACAGATGAAGGGATGGATAAGGATGTGGCAAAGTACAATTGGTTCTGATACAAGTTAATAATACTGTCAAAGATGAGGACACCTTTACAGTCACAACGTACCTCAGGAAAGAATTCTTGTGGAAACTTGGACTTCTCTTTGGTGCTAACATCTTCAATATTCCCTGAATATTCTCTTCTATCTAAGCAATCAGTGAATTTCATTTCTGAAAGATGAAAGTCAATGTGAGTGATTACATGACATTACAGAAATGTTAATGCTAAGAAAAAAATCTAAACCTTACTACTCTGTGACAGAAAAAGGCAGACTATAATGATGAACACATGCACATACACACAGAGTTAAGAAGCAGGAGATATCTCTTTTGGTTCCTTATAAATACTGGTCTAATTATGAGTGAAGTGTTACTAAGGGTTCTTAAAAGTCTTGATATGGATGAAGCCTCTAAGCCTGTACTTCCAGTTACTGTAGGTCCAAGAATATAATGGGTGCATCTAAGTAAGTTTACAATTTATAATTTTAGGGTTTACACCCAGAAAGTCTAATGAAACAAAATTTTATTCCTGAATGTGTGGGCAGCGAGAATCTCCTTAGCCCGAGACTTCCACACTCAATAATTCAGAGTGCACACCTGATGGTGTTAAAGTGATCAATACCAAAGGCTTCCTCCAGCTAGGACCTAGGAATTCTGCAACTGTTTCCCAATTTTGCATTTACCAGCCCTTTCTTGCTGGTACAGTACAGTGTAGTGTCTATACAATGTCTATTAATACTGTTAGGCTTCATTGTAATTTGATTACAGTGTTGTCTTAAGCGCTCTAATATGCCTCTAATGGCAGGTCTGCACTGTCATGGTGTATATAACCAAAGATCAGAATGAGGAGTAACTACTGGAAATGGATGAGCTGCTGATGGGTGATGATACGGTGTTGTGCAGGTGAATTATGGCAGAACACACGTTACAGCAACCACAGTGTATCAATGAGGGCAGACGATGTAAATCTGTGTTTTCTCTTGATTCTGGCCACACGCACGTACGAACACACACAATTTGAGAATAAATACTTAGTAAATTTTTAATTAGGATTAAATTCTTCATCAATTCATGCATATAATGTATGCACACATTGTCAAAACTGGAGTCAAAAGCAGCATTGTAATGGAGTATCATATCATGGTAAGAGGCAGATAGCTTGACTTTTGACATTTTAGTATTTCCGTCACATCCTCGATCATATCATTTATGATTCGACGAACTAGAATCTTATCAAACATTTATTACACTTTATCAGATGTAATTTTTCTTGGTAACAACTCTGAAAAATAAAAAAATAAAAAGAGGAGCCAAACTAAACTTTGCTATACAGTATTAAATTTCAAATGAACAGGATTCTGCAATCAGTGAGTTACAGTATTACCAAACCTTATATCAACACAACATTGAAAACAACACAACATCTTTGAACTAGATAATAACAAGGTTACCACAGCAAGGTCACAAGGGCCACCACTGAGGGTATACTAATTAACTTTATATCAAACTTGTCTGAGGTCTTGTCCTCTATGTTTGGCCTAAATCTACAGCTGGTGGTTCCAGTTATAATTATACTCACATAAAGAAACTGTGCTTCATTATGGCATGTCTCAATTAACTATTATCTGGTATAAACTATACAACTATCCTCACCAAACTGTCCTTTCTATAATTACACGAAAGGGGAGAGTAAGTTCCGTCACATAATTTTTGTCCCCTATCCTTTACCACACCTTTAAGTAATAAACTTAACCAGTCTTGCCCTGAAGCTGATGTTTGTCCCTGAAAAAATTTCAAAGTAGAACAAGAGCCATAACTTTGTTATACTGAAGTTCAGTACAGTATTGTGTAATGATGGATTATTCTGATTATTAAACTCAGCCTAAATACAGTACTCCAAGATATGAAACTGCAAACAAAATTTCACTTTGATCCATGAAGTCTTTCTCAAGTTGCTGAACAGATTTTTTTTTTCTAGACAGGAGAAACAACAAACTGTATACCCAAGCCACACTCAATGGGAGGAAGGGAGGCAAGCTGAAAAATCCAGCAGTGGTTATAACATCTTCTCATACCATGGAATAAGATTACAGGTACAGTACTGTATTAAAAATGAAGGTCGACTACACGAGTACACACAGGGAAAGAAGAAGAACATATGAAAGACAATTAAAGAACTCTTAATCTATTAGTGCGTCCCCCATGAAGAAGCTTACAGCAGCTAACATTGTGGTATTTCATAGAAAATATGCACCAAAAACAAAGATTTCCAGAGACACGTGACAAGTTATCTTCCTGATGTAAGACTAGGTGTAAGAGTGAGGCCAGGAAGCTCAATATGTAATTCCTCTCCATATGTTCACCCCAAACATCAAATCTTAAATGACTTACAATACTTTCACAATCAAGCCAAATTCCTCTAATAATTATCAATAAACACCCAGAAGAAAGAAAGTGGAGAAAGAGCTGGGGCAAGTACAAGTTAACTATAGATAAAACAGCAGGAAGGAGGGTAAACTAAGATATAATTATACCCACAAGCACTACACTTGTTCGTATCTACAACTGGCTTACATAACATAACGTAACAAACATTAAAAGTCAAAGCCTCAACCTCAACAAAGATTCATATCAATTAATTTGCTAAAAAAAAAATAAAATAAAATAAAAAGACACTGAGCCACAAATTACTTAAATCAAAACTTATCTTCTGACTTTAGGATAATGAATAAATACTAATTATCAAGAACCATTACAGCAACATTACTTTAACTGCATACATCATGAGGCAGTTCAAATTAAACACAACAAACGCTCCTTCTTGCTTGTTGTTGTTCACTCCTTTGCCTCTCTTACGTTACTGATGACCATATCATACAGCAAGAGAACCTTACCTTAAACACTGAATATACGTACAGACGTTTATATACAGCATACACACCCAGTCTAATTTATAATGTATACATTGCTTAATAAAACAATCAACACCAAGGCTTAACCCTGAAATACAGCTGAGAAAATAAACTTGGTCCCAAAACTAAACCCTGAGATAGAGCTGAAAAACAAACTTATTCTCAAAACTAAACTTTGGGACAGAGCAGAAAAATAAACTTACCCTCAAAATCCCAAATTTGTAGATCTTGAACATTTTGGTGAATAAAATAGAGGTTGCCGAGAGCCTGAAACATAACACACAACCCATCAGTCTTCGTGGTAACAAACTTTATTAAATAATTTCAATAATGACTAAAAAAAAAAAACTAATACATGTACAATCATTAACTAGGATTTTTATTTTTTGCAGTAGAATGAGTGACAGTAAGGATACAAAAATCCTAAAATATTCTGACACATTCCAGTTGAAATCTTGGCAAACATATAAAAATACCCTGAACAACTTAAAAGAAACAAGAGGATGTCATGGTACTGTACAACACCAAACCTGTGCTAGGCAACAGATGAGTGGGTGTAGTACAGTACCCACACAGTGCACATGAACCACTGTGATAGCCATCCAGTCACCCCCGCGACAGACAACAATACTTCCGTCAATATTATTTCCTCCTGCCATGCCTCAACCACTCTACCTCCATCAATCTACTTTATCTATGCTAACATGAACAATCTACCAATAAAGTGGTCCCTCGGTTAACGAACACAATTTGTTCCAGAGGGTCGTTCGTTAACCGAAAATTTCGTTAACCAACTCCATTGTTTCAATGGGATATTGGGTAATTGGTTCCAGCTCACCGAAAAGTACATACAAAGTAAAAAAAATAAAAATGCAGTAAAGTACACTTACTTTGAGGTGTGTATGTAGAAGGCTCCTGGTTGATGATGATGATGATGGGAATTAGAAGTGGGGGTGGAGGAGAAGGGAGAAGAGAAGGAAGTGGGGATGGAGGAGAAATCACCTTTCAGGGGACCCATGCTTGATGCCGTCATTTCACCAATAAAATTTTAAGTCCACTAGGTGTAATTCAAGATTATTTTATTTAAATCAACACTGCACTGCGCTATATATTATCAATATGTTAACTAAATTTCAGAATGACCAATAATTTCAACGAAAAATGCAAAAATATTCAAGACACCAACAAAATAGATGTTTATTCCACTGTCAACAGAGCCCAGCTGACGCCTTGTGGCCGAGTCAAGCATCTGATGGGCGCACAAAAAAATAGTTCCCTGTACTGCATACATTATCAATATGTTAAATAAATGTTAAAATTACTAATAATTTTAACATTAAAAATGCAAAAATATTAAAGAGCACAACTTTATTGATATTTACTCCACTGGAAACGAATGTAAACATAGAACAGATTACTGAATTGGCAGACTAGCCCATCAGCTGATGCTCAATGAAACGTGATGTTCGTAAGGATTTCGTTAATCAAATTTTTGTTCGTTAACCGAATTGAAGATTCTTATGGAAGGTAATTCGTTAACCGAAATTTCGTTAACCAAACCGTTCGTTAACCGAGGGACCACTGTATATACTATCTCCATCAACCTACCTATATTGTACTGCCTCTATACGTATATATCTAAGTATGACGACTCCACCAATCCAAAAGTTGCAGTGTTGTTTGGAAGTAATCACAGCTTGTAAATAATAAAGCTCCCATTCCTAGATAGAAAATTTCATTACAATGCAAGTATCAATATTGGCTGTATTGATAGATTAACTACATACAGTATATCTTGTATGACTTCTCTCATGATGTAGCAAGGTTCGGTAGTTTAATCACGTAGTTTAATCACGCACGCACGCGCACACACACACGCGCACACACATGCGCACACACACACGCGCACACACACACACACACACACACACACACACACACACACACCTCTCATTTATTCTGGTATATAATGTGTTACCACTGGACTATGGATGGCACAACCACTGAAGACTACCACAGAACTATTAGTGAAGGTAGAGTAGTGTTCACTCAACCCAAACCTCTGAGCCAAACTCTTGCCATGACACTGAAACAAAATACTGATATAAGCTGATTACAGAACTGGGTTTAATTATCACGTGAAGTTTTATACAAAATAAAATTGTGGCAACCTGCATGGGAATGGATCTCGCACAGTGTTCAACGCCAGGGACATTAATCCATTCAGGAACAACAAGGAACCCAGTCTGTACTTGGAAAGCTGATTCAAGATTGGTATTTTTTTTTGGGGGGGGTTGAGGGTGAGGTGGTTAAACTGGTAGGAAACATAATCAAATGACTAAATCCACTGAATGGGATAAAAACAGATCAGAGGTTTCATAATCAAGCTATTCTGATGTTAGCCTCAAATTATTTAGTAAGGTCAAGTCTTTTCTACACTACTTGGCATCCTCCTCAGTATAGTAATGACACATAGTACTGGTGAGACAGGACAAGACTCATGTAGCACTGCACTCCACTCCATAAACACTTGCTCGCATCTCAACTTGCATAAGCATCCCATAATCCCGAGGAGATACTGAATGATGCCTCTTCCCCTTGCTGGTGGTCACTTACTGTAAATTTTTCAGCAGACTCGTACTCTTCGTCCAGGTACACTCTGATCTTGTTGTATGGGAGCATCGTGCCTCTGTTTAATAACGATCTGGAAGGAAAAAAGGTCATCTTATCAACAGACCTTCTGGAATTTACAACTAACTTCTAAAATTAGCTTCAACCTGGTAAATAAAAAATAAAAAATCACATTTAATATCTTTGAAGGGCTGCTGGAACCATATTCATTCTAGAAAGTAAAAGTTTTGACAATTTTGCCCATGGAAATATTATAAACATCACTGTACACTACATGTCTTGTTATCCCACCACCTCCCCACTCCAGTGCAGTCTCTGCCTGGTAATGATATCTTAATTTTTATGATTTAATATCTTCTTCAGTCCCTTGTTAGGTTAATATTAACTAACCATGCCTCATAAATAAAATATAAATAATAAAAGTAACTACCCCTAATGTGCTTACATTGGTTACCTAATATTCTAATATATATATGAAGCATTGTACTGGTATCAAAAAGCTGTCCCTCTGCTACTTATTACTAAGGCTTCTAGCTCTGCATATGTGGAGCATGTCCATATCCTGATTTAGTAGTTCACAAATATTTCCATCACTGGGAACAAATATTTCAGGTGTATCTGGACTCCCACCAACCGGAACTAATGTTTCAGCAATATGTTGACCTCTGCAGACAAATATTTAACACATATCTAGACCTCCCCGCCCAGAACTGATGTTTCACTTTTATTTTAACCTTGGAAACTAATGCAGTATTTCACATATACCTGAAACCTCCTATCCAGAACTGAAACTTAGGATGCAGTATACAGCATTGTCTGGGGACTTATACCTGTATTCACATATCTCAGGATCCATCCTCCCAGAGATAACATTTAATTGTACAGTATAATGCTAAGTACAATATACTGCACATAAATTCCTTCGTCCAGAACTAATATATTAGAAATGAAGTGAGTAGACAGAACCAAAATAAAAGGAGGACTGGAGGAAAAGCAGGGAGACATATTATTAAGCACATTCTTATAAGATTTCTCCTCCACGTCAATGGCTTCTCTGAGATCACTTCCAACTTCCCGGTTAAGAAATCCTATAAAGAAGCACAATATTTCACCGAGTGATTTATTCTAAGCAACTCTTAAAAGTGTAAATGAGACTAAATATTATACAGGTATTTATTATTAGAAGACTCATCTTACCCACATCAAAAGCTAAGCAGGAGACATGAGTCACTTCTATCCCCACCCACTTAACATGGTTGAGGAGATAATACTAAAAGCACATCATTACTTTCAAACTAATCCAGGTATATGTATACAAACCTTGAAGCACACATGTAAAAGGGGTAGGTATACAGAATTACATGACAAATAGTGGGTACAAATAAGGGTGCACTTGGTGAGCAGTGCATGAGAAGTGACTATGCACATGTGGTTGGTGACGAAATAAAATAAAAGGATGTTTGAAGAAAATGTTGTAAATTACTATGATTGTTTGTTAAAAGAGCAGTATGAATGGGAGGGAAGCAACCTAAAAGCAGTAAAGTCAGTACAGGCACCAGATCCAAGGATGGCAAGAAAGTGATTGACAATATGAAAAATGGAAAGGGTGGTGGTAGTTCTGGGATAGTTGATAGTTGTAGAAAAAGTGACAGCATCAGGCGAAGCTGGAGTAACAATTGTGACCAAATTGATTATTGAAATTATGATGAAGTGTATTGTTCCAGCTAACTGGCTGAAGAGCATGATTGTGAATATAAGCTCTTTCAAGGGAAAAGGTGATGTACTGTAACTGAATGTAGAAATTATAGGTGTCTGAAGCTATTAGGTAAAGTTATGAAAGTTGTTGAAAGTGTGATCAAGAAATAATTAAAGGAAATAATTAATATTAATGAAATGCAGTTTGGATTCTTGCCTGGCACAGGATCCAGAGGCAAGATTTATGGCCAGGCAACTACAGTACACAAGATAAATAACTATGGAATTATAGTACAGTACAGTGCTGTACTATTTTGTATTTGCAGACTCAGAGAAGGCATTTGCCAGGGTACCATGTGAGATGGTACACCGGGCAATGGGAAAGTTAGGGGTCAAGGAGCGTCTTGTTTGAGTGGTTATAGAATTGTCTGAGGGCTCGAGGACCTCCACGAGAAAACCTGGTGAGGAGAAAAAAGGAAGGTCTGTCTTGAGCCCCCATATAATTATTATATTATTAGAGACACAATCACAAAATTGTAGGACAGCTCTGCCCTAGGAGTTGTTGTATGCTGACAACTTAGAGTTGACAACAGATAGTATTGAAAGAGGTAGAGGAGAAATCTAAGAAATGAAAAAATGGAATCGAGTCAAAAAGGATGAGTAGGAATGTGGCAAAAATATAGATATTGATTAATGGTGTGGTGGACAGTGGGAAATGGCCTCGTGCCACCTGTATGTGCAGATAATCATGTAGCCTTTAAAAGGTTGGAAAATCTAGATATTGGGGATATATCCCAGGACTGTGTTGAGGAGTTGTTACCTGGGTGATATGATTAGTGGTGGAGGTGGTGCTGATCTAACTCAGTCACGAGAGTCAGAAGTGGCTGGAGGAAGTTTAGGGACCTGTTCCCATTATTGATGGCAAGAGAACCTTCTCTTTATGTGAAATGAAAGATGTATGCAACAGATATGAGAAGAGTTGTTGTATGACAGTGAAACATGAGCAGTTAAAGGTCATATGTAGGCTTGACAGAGCTGAGAATGGATAGATGGTTGTCACAGAAGGATAGAACACCTTGTTCAAAGCTAATAGGGCGACTGGGTATTGAGAGCATTGGCGAGGTTTAATGACGAAGCAAGCAGAGATGGGGCATGTGAAGAAGACCAACTGGATCAAGAGATGCATGTTCTTGAATGTGGAAGGAGGGTAGGAGAGGTAGGGGTAGGCTGAAACAGACAAGGGGAGAGGTTGTAAGAAATTACCTCACAAGATGAGAAAGACTCCAAGATATCATGTAGCACAGGGAGCTGCCATCAGGTATCATGGCTAACCCAAGCAAGTGTGTCTAATGGTCGTCATAAGAGAGTGTTGATGATTATGATTAATTTTTTGAAGTTAGGCCCCCAAAACAAACCTCAAGTGACAATGATGGAACACTCTTGTCTAGCCTTTACCTACTTCACTCAAGCTGGGTACAATAATAGTGCTAGCTATACTGTAGGTATATGCTAAAAGACATCATTTGAAATGGCTTAATACTATGCCTTGTGTGTTACTGTTTGCAATTTCAATATTTGACAGAGTATTTATTGGTATAAAATCATTTCCTGGTCATGTAGCTTCTGCACTTGCCTTTTCACCATCACTCAATCTATTCTTTACCTTTACTCCTCTCTCACCTTTGTGCTGCAAGACATATGTTAACATCAAAATGAAATGGTGAAGACATTCAACAGATATAAATACTGCACATATACAGTAATTATTCACATCCTCAACAAGCATATATGGTACAGTATACAAAGTAAATCATAAGGTTTCACACTCATTCGTAACAGCTTATATGAATCCACTGTGCGTACTTTATGTTTAACCCTTATGCTCCCAATGACATTCATGAGTCAGCCTCGTTGTGTAAAAAAAAAAATTAAGGTCTCAAAATAGTTAAAAAAAAAACACATCTAGAATAATATAACATACAAACTACAGAAGAACAATGTTTCTGGTGGTGGTGGTGGTGGGAGCATGTTAAAGTAGTATCTCTGGTGGTGGTGGTGGGAGCATGTTAAAGTAGTATCTCTGGTGGTGGTGGTGGTGGGAGCATGTTAAAGTAGTATCTCTGGTGGTGGTGGTGGTGGGAGCATGTTAAAGTAGTATCTCTGGTGGTGGGAGCATGTTAAAGTAGTATCTCTGGTGGTGAGCAGTAGTGTGGTATGGCTCTGGTGGTGGTGGTGGGAGCATGTTAAAGTAGTATCTCTGGTGGTGGTGGTGGGAGCATGTTAAAGTAGTATCTCTGGTGGTGGTGGTGGGAGCATGTTAAAGTAGTATCTCTGGTGGTGGTGGTGGGAGCATGTTAAAGTAGTATCTTTGGTGGTGGTGGTGGGAGCATGTTAAAGTAGTGACCTCAATTAAAACAACCTCTCAGATGTCATAGAGATACATATTGATTAAAAAAATGTGTTTATCGGAGCATTCCTCACAAAAATTGTAATATTTATGAGTGAGGGAGCAGTGTGGGCGAACAGTGTCTCGCAGAGCAGGGAAGCGTCTGCCCACACTTGCACTAATGAGAGGGAGTGACGTCAGCAATTGGGATGTGAAAATGGAGGCGCAAAACATAAAAAACTCGTCACGATATCAGCAATGTACCGCATATCATCACACGAAGACGGGAACAATTTAGGGGTTAAATCACATGTTCAATTGTTGGATTAAAAAGTTTGACTAAAACCATCTATTATAAAGCCTCAATTGAATCTTATATCAATTCAATGTCTCAATTACAACTCATGTGATGTGCCTCTACCACCCAAACAAAACAACAGGGGAACAGGTTTATTTTGAAGATACGTTACAATATTTGGCTATAAATCAATTGAAATGCCATAGACAAATGAAACATTTGACGAATGCCAGAGTGATGGAGATTTACAACAATGTACAAGTAATTAGAAGTGAGAGGAGGACGGACAGACCAATTAAACTCCTGCATGACAGTTACACAGTAGATGACAAGATATGAGTCATGCATCAGATGTTATATTCGTATCAAAGTTCAGGCACCTGCCATTATATACTAGGTACCACATGAAAATTACTGTACCTATACTTTATACCTATACTGTATGTGTGCTGATATTTCTGTATCTGGTACAGTACAGTAAATGAGTTTTGTTTCTTGCAAGACTTACGAAGAGATTGATAGTACTGTACATACAGTAAATAGACAACATTATGAATACAGTATTACAAATCCAATATACTGTACTGTATTTTTCAGTTTACAACACATTAAAACTGCAATCCATAAATTATAGAGAAATATTAGGGAGGAAAGTCATCTGAACAAGTTGTTAGCAATTTTTTTCCTTACTCTGGGAATATATTCTATACTGTGTCAGTAGAAATAAGCATTAATTTTCATTCATCAAAACTACAAATAATTTTCCTCAGCTCACCACAGAAGAGGATACAAAACCCAACAAATAAACAATACAGAATATGAGGCCTCAGAAATGACCTTTGACCGGTGTCTTGCAACACACAATATAAATTTATGTGTTGCATGTAATGGAGTTTAAGTTGTTAACACAATGAGTGACACTTACTTGCATGCAAAAACAAACATGCACACACACGCATACTTCACGGTAGTGAACTTACACACACTCGGGCGTACAAAAAAGGTGAGGCAAGGCTGAACACACAATGAAGCATAAGAGAACAAAGATTAGAGCTGTGATGCCTCACCCACCTGATGAAGTGCTCCACGTGCTGCATGCTCTCCTCGTAGTTTTTTCCGCCTACCTCCTGGCAGTGGAGCGCGATGAAGTGTGGATCATGTTCTTCAACAGTCTGAGACAGAACAACACAAATAATAATATATATACCTACTGCTAAATTAAACTGTTTACTTTAACATCTAGGTTACTAATCAAATAGGGCCCAACTCAACCAAACATTAGAACTGGGGTCTAGTTTTAATGGTTAAATTGGGGCCTATTTGACATGCCACCTCTACAGAGTACTGTACGTATATGGCATTCCCACTGATTAAAGCTACCAGGAGTTACTGTACAGTACTGGGTTAAGATTAATCTGCTGTACACAGACAAAGTTCCAAATTGCCCTTTATCTATTCACCGCCAGTAAGAGATAAAATGCTTAACATTGATCAAAAAATTATCCTGAGACACTTATTTAACCATAATTTCAACATGATTTAATACCAAACCACAGACCTCATAAATGTTGTACCTTTGTCAAGAGCAACGAAGAGCAAATTCTATCAGTGAGCATTTGCAGCACTTCCCTGAAGCCACAAGGGTGTGTCAAAACACAATGCTTTGGCAACCAATGTTTGTTCATATTTTCAAACTAAAGGGGTCACCATGTTGTGAGTGTTGTGATGAGGTATCCCAGCTTTCAAGATGACATTTCCTTCTGGCCAGAAATGTTATGTTGAGGCTCTAACAAGTTTAAGAAATGAAAGAAAATCCCATAATAAAAAGCTTAACAAAAAAGACAATGGACTCCATATTTGACTCTCCTTCAAAAAATAATAAGTAAAAAAAAAAAAAAAATGGAACTCACAACCAAGAACAAGGCTAGCAATGTCCTATATTGTACTTGTTCAATACACCCTTACTAAACCAGTGGTGTACACCCCACATACATCATGCAATGGTTTGTAATATAAATAAAGCCAATAAATATTCCAATGAGTGTCATTTTTGTGGCGACAGTATTTCAAAAAGCTTTATATTGTATATATGCACTCAAGGTACTTTACATTGGTAATTGTATACCTGCATGGTTTATGTACAGTGTATACCTGCATGGTCTATGTACAGTGTATACCTGCATTGTCTATGTACAGTGTATACCTGCATTGTCTATGTACAGTGTATACCTGCATTGTCTACATACAGTATGTACTGAACATGCTGAACTGTATACCTACATTATCTATACGGTATACAATACATGCCAGTACAGTATTAACATTACTACCGTCCTAGTACTGTATTATTACCATTAGTTGTAGTATTAATAGTAGTACTGTAGTAGTAACAGTACCAGTACATGTAATAGTAAAAGCACAGTATAGGTAGTACAGTAGTAGTAGTAGTAGTAGTAGGTAGTCAAACTACCTTGTCCCTTTTTGGTAGTGTACCTGACCTGACCTCAAGATCACCCAGGGGACTATTGTGCTGGTACAGTACAGTAGAGTAGTTGTTATTCCGTCAAGGTAAAACGACAAACAACAGAGAACAAATGTATACAGTAGAGCACTTTAGTCAACAACATACTGTATCATATTCCCAATACAGTACAATACAGATGAACCAGCGTAGAAAACAGCCATAAAACTTTGATATTGAAGAGATAGATAAATAGGACTTTACTAAGAAAAAATAAAAGCTTTAAGGAATAAAATTCAACGAAAAAGAATCCACAACTTTTCTTGATTACACCTTATCTAACTTGTTCTGACTATTTCATTCTTCCTTTCCATGTACAGTACAATATAGTACAGGAAAAGAAGACTTAGGGAAGGCATAATTAAATGCATGTAGTAGGCAGCTGTCAAACAGGGAGGTACTACCGCCTGGGAAGATATTGGAAGCATAATGTGTTGTCTAATGGTAGACCCTGCTGCCATATGTGACCAAGTCCCAGGTTGATGATCTGACTTTCTGCCTCATTTACACACAATTGCAGGGTCTCAATTATTTCTCTTACTTTGACAACACAACATACATACTGTACAGTGATCCCTCAGTTAACGAATTACCTTCCATAAGATTCTTAACTTCGGTTAACGAGCATTCCCTCGATTAACGAATTCCTTACGAGCGCCCCTCAACATGTTTTCGCTTGCTCACTAGCTGTCGTATTAGTCCGCCAACACAGTAATCGGTTCTAGGGCTTAAATTCCTTACTATTTTAGTACCTGGTAAATATCAAGAAGTTTGTAATATTCAATAATTTTAAGTCTTATATTAAAATTTTTAGTCATTTTAACAATTATTTAACATAATTAAAGTACAGGGAAACTAGTTTTTAGCGCGCCAAACAGCCACTCAACACACCAAACAGGCGTCAGTCTGCGTGTCTTTTCAGTGGAGGTAACATCTTGCTTCAGACTCTCTTCAACATAAACTATTTTTTTTCCATTTTTACAGTGAAATTATTGGTCATTTTGAAATTTATTTTACATATTTATGATATCTAGCACAGTGCAGTGTTGATTTAAAGAAAATATTCTTTATTTACAGCAATTAAACTTAAAATTTTAGTGTTGAAATTGTTTTTGAATCCAGCATGGGTCCCAAGAAATCCAGAAAAGCGATTTCAATCCAGGTAAAACAGGAAATTATTAAGAAACATGAAGAAGGCATTAGAACAAATGTGCTTAGCAAAGGATATGGCATGTAGACATCAACTGTGTCGACAATTCTTTCACAGAAAGACAAATTTAAGGAAGTGAAAGTGAGAGACAAATCTACCAGAGTGTTTGAAGGTAGATCCCTAATAGCAGAAACAGAGGGGATACTTCTCATTTGGATTAGGGAAAAACAAATGAAAGGTGATTCAGTTTCGACCGAATTTATTTGTGAAAGAGCCAGGGAGATTTACGAACATTTAAAGGCAGATCAACCTGGTTCTTCAGGCACAGAGTTTGAAGAGTTTAGGGCCAGCAAGGGCTGGTTCAAAAAATTTAAAAGAAGTGACATTTCTAGTGTTGTTAGGCATGGTGAGGCTGCCAGTGCTGATAAGGAAGGAGCAGCAAAATTTTCAGTGAACTTTAAAGAACTGGTGGATGAAGAAAATTATCTTCCACAGCAAGTGTTCAATGTGGACGAAACTGGGCTGTTCTGGAAAAAGATGCCCAAAAGGACATTCATCACCAGAGATGAAGCCTCTTTACCTGGGCATAGACCCATGAAAGACCGTTTCACTCTATTGCTTGGTGCCAATGCTTCAGGGGATTTCCGACTGAAGCCTATGCTTGTCTACCACTCTGAGAACCCCAGGGTGTTCAAGCAACAGAAAGTGGTAAGAAGACGGCTTGGAGTTTATTGGAAGTCCAACCGTAAGGCATGGGTGACAAGACAGCTCTTTAATTAATGGGCTGTTGAGGTGTTTTGCCCTTCTGTGAAGAGCTACCTAACTACCAAGGAACTTCCTTTAAAGGCTCTTCTCCTTATGTTTAATGCCCCTGGTCATGACCCTCAACTTGCCAGCACTTTGAAGTCTCAATTTGACTTTGTCAAAGTGTTGTTTTTGCCTCCCAACAATACATCAATCATACAGCCAATGGACCAGAATGTGATCAGCAACTTTAAGAAGCTGTACAAGAAGAAAATGTTCAGGAGGTGTCATCAGGCAACTTCCACTGATCCTCAACTAACACTGGCACAGTTCTGGAAGACACAATTTAAGATCCTGGGGACTGTAAAATTGATTGTGTACTCATGGCAAGAAGTCTCCACTAGAACCCTCAAGTCTTCATGGAAAGCACTGTGGCCATCAGTAGTCCATGATTTTGAGGGATTTGAGGAAGAAATAGAGTTGGACCAGGAAATTGTGTCCATTGGTCAGTCATTGGGCCTTGAAGTGGAGGAGGATGATGTAGAAGAGCTTGTGATGTCTCATGAGCAGGAACTTACTCCTGAAGACTTGCAGCAACTGGATGAGATGTTAGAGGCTGACAGTGGTGAGGAGGAAATGGAAAGTGACGACCATATGTCAACTTCAGATTTGAAAGATGTTGTTCACCACTGGGAGAAGTTCAGGAAACTGGCTTCAAGGCACCCAGATGTGGAAAAGCAGAACTTGCCTTGTGTAATGTTGAGGACACAGTGGTCTCCTTCAAACATCAGTTAATGATGAGGAAGAGAGATGCCCCACAAACAAAAATTGACAGTTTCTTCATTAAAAGACAGTGGGAAACAGATGCTAGCCCTCAGCCTTCCACTTCAAGAAGGAGAGAGGATGTTCCTGCTGGAGAATCTGTAAGTCCAGAGGCTCCTGACATTTTCATGGAAGGTGACTCACCTTCCAAGAAGCAGTAAAATGCTTCTCCTCCACCTCCACATCCTTCTCTTCTCCCTTCTCCTCCACCTCCCACTTCAAATTCACATCATCATTATCATCCAGGATACATACCTTCGGATCTTACTACGAATATTCCTATAACGAACGGTTTTACCTATAAAATTGAGAATGCTATAACGAACGAAACTCCTACAACGAACATTATTTAAAATTTTTATTATTTTTTAATAATTTATTGTTTTTTATTACAAGTATTAATGATATTCTTTATTTCAGGGGTTTAGATGCATATTTATGCACTTTTTTACAATTTTTACAATTTTATTATATTTTTCAGTGTTAAGTGGTTGTATTTGGGGGCCTGGAACGGATTAATCCTATAACGAACGAATGCTATAACGAACAAGGTTCAGAACCAATTAGATTAGCATACACACCTCAAAGTAAGTGTACTTTACTACCTTTTTTGTTGACTTTATGCAATTTTCGGTGAGCTGGAACCAATTACCCAAAAACCCATTGAAACAATGGTTTCGGTTAACAAATTTTTCGGTTAACGAGCAACCTTCTGGAACGAATTGTGCTCGTTAACTGAGGGACCACTGTTTATTGTTTCTCACTATTAATCATTTATTTTATTTTATTTTTTTATGCTTTATTATTATATTATTTTTTATTAATTATTATTATTATTATTATTATTATTATTATTATTATTATTATATTTTTGCCTCCAGGCCCTGATGTGGGTCATTGACCTGTGCCCTAGTGGGCTAATCCCGACAAAAGAAAGGACTTAATTCATAAAAATTAAATTCATCCATTTACTGTGAATCTTGTAGTGTACAGGTTTAAGTTAGATACTGTATGTATCATTATACATAGTTTTTTCTCATATGTGTCTTCAGGAGATTGTGAAAATTTTGATCAATGGTGTTAAGTTGTCAACTATTCTCAAGTAAGAAGATGATAGAAGGGGTAAGACAGCAGTGTAATATCATTGCTTCCATTAATAAGTGACCACCAGGCTAATGTACTAACATCTGGGTCAGTTAAATTTATTTCTGGACCAGCAGCTTTATTAATCTAATTATCAATGTCTATTCACATTTGGAGTATATCAGGATGTGGTAGCTTATTTAACTCCTCTCTTTATTGCTGCCTGAGCTTTTAGTGACGTGTTCAGAGTAACTGCAGCTCCTCAGTACATAAGTTACTTAAAAGGAGCACTGACAACAAACCATGACCTTTGACTCAACACTCCATAGGCTTGTGTGTACTGTATTACTAATATAGTTGGGTTAAGTAACAACACTGAATACAATACTGTAGTTATTTAGTGACAACCAGAATGTTAAATAACAAAACATAACTACATCACCATATTATTTCATGTTTGGTAATTCAGGTAAAATAAACAGCCCAATTGTAGGGAACACCAACCCTCTCTACAGTCTGATTCTCACTGCAAACTGACATTAACACTTTAATGTGATCAGTAGCATGACACAATGAGAGCTTAACAAGTGTATGTCACCAAAGGCCAGCATATCTCTCTCTGTAGTACATACAAGTTTGAGGAATTATAACTCCGGATAATAAAGACAAGATTTATAAGTCAATTACAGTATCAAACTAGTTGAAGTGTGTTGTGATGTACAGTACTGTACAGTACTGTACAGTATATCTAAGTACTGTACTGTACCTGGTTGCTTAAAACAAATTATATGTACTGTTACTGCAAGCAGTAATGAGTAGGATGACACATAAACAAACATTATGTTAGGCTGTAAGTCATGTCATGTTTATTGGGTGTGCCTGCCCGTATACAGTGTGTAGAGTGTTGAGATGGTGGAGATGAGAGACCCAGAGGAGGTGAGGTGTTGGGTGGTAGTAAGGGAGCTTGTTTGTATATAATCACCTGACTCAGCTCTCGCCCATCGAGCGAGGGTTGGGAAGGCGACAGCAGGGTATCGGCACTGTAGCTATCCAGACCACAGAGGCAACACCTAACCTGGTTCCTCTGTAGTTATTCAGATCACAGAGGCAGCACCTAACCTGGTTTCTCTCTAGACTTTCAACACGTAAGTTTAACTAGTTCTTATTGTGTACACAGGTAGCCTGTGTCCATTGCATCATTTATCAATGTGACAATATAGAAATATGGCAAATTAAGCACTCATTGTAAGTGTTAAGATTAGACTAATTAAATAGCTATGATTGTTATGTAAATATATATTGGATTAAACATTTATGTAGGAGTGCCTATGTATGATTTATCTGAAATACTAAAATGAATTGTATTCAACAGGTTTGACCGAATTATAACGTTCGAGTTTAACGTGACGAGTCTAATTAATCCTTTAACCGCCCGGATGGCGGTTACACGTACAGTACCAACATTTTGGGTCTTTGTATTCATAATGGCAGCGTGACAGACACAAAAGGACATCCATCATATCTATATACCCACCTGGCACAAGAAGCAGAGGGTAAGGGTAATAATACAGATAAAGTACAGTACCGTATACAGGGTATAATTATTTACATAGCAGCACAGACCTGCTCTGTTCAATACTGTCACCTGTACTAGAAATGAAAACTAAGCCATTTAAAGCTCGTAAAATATTACTACAGTATTGTTAAAAATTATACAGTAATCTTAGAGGAGATGAAGACCTCCTGACCCTGCTGTGGTTAATGGTGTCCAGAATGAATAAGAACACAAGAGAATACTTCTAAGTTGCTGCCAATCATTCTCTTTAACTGCCACTCCAGTACTCAAGTTAATGATGATATCTTAAGTCTTCCCATTCAAAGTTTAAGTTAAACAAAGTGCTTCAACTTAATCATAACAATAGTGAAGGTAAGGTCAATGACCTTACAATATGAAACAGTAAACGCACACTTACTAATTCTAATGCACTTGAAGCAGTTTATCAGTTTAAAAGACAATCATGTATAATTCTATTCCTAACTGAACATGAGCGCTGTCAAGGTTGGTGGGGGTCTTACTCTGCCGTGGTGTGGTCTTACTCTACCATGGACTATGTTAACCCCTCTTGCCTGGGGGTTACCACTTCACAAATAGTGTAGTAGTGTATCCATTTTTTAAGGGTATACAATATTACAGGTCTACAGTATCTAAGTGTCTTGGTAGGAAGTACATAGTTCATCCTAAACACAGACAAACACAACGTTGTACTGTACCCAATCAAGGGTTATAAAAAAATATTTAGGACCCTCAACATCCCAAACAAGATTTAAAGAGCCTGGACATCTGGGGTTTGTTGTTTACTTACTTTAAGAAGGTAAAAAACGAGACAAACTACAATAATTGAGTGATGAAGTGAACACAGGTGTGTTTACAGGTTAACTAAGGTACCATATGTACTGGAGTTAAAATATTTTTTTTCTTTAATTGGCCATACCTGTATTAAAATTTTTCAAAAAATAATTTGATTCAGTTCAAGCATCAACTGAACAAGTTCAAAATTAAAAACTAATACTGTACTACACATTGAAGCTCTCATATATGGCAACTCCCCCCAAAACAGCATTGTGTTTTAAAATTCCCAAAGAATGGTGCAGTCAGATGGTAACATGAACAAAAGTTCAACTACCCAGCAAACCTCCCATCACACGGCAGCATCTTATAGTTTCACCAGTTGGCCACTTAAGTTTTGGTGGTGTGCCAATCACTCCCACCATTCAGTTCATTTGTTTGAATTCACAGCTGAGGGTGGTGGTGTGTTACAGTGTTATTCTAACCTTATTGAAATACACCATTGCTCCCAAACATGTGTTTATATACAGTACAGGTACACTGTACAGTACAGTGTACCGTAACATGTTACAAGTACATAAGAAATACTACCTTCTAAATAAAGGCAATTTCCTATATCAGGCTTGAAGCTGGTCCCATGGTTGACAGATATGGAAGCTTCAACCTGTATAACACCCTTGTACAGTACTAAGGCCTGATATGAAGTCACAATTCATAACCTTTTCCTTCTCTTTATCTCTCAATATTTGACCCCAGAAAAGTTTATGCTTCAGGGAAGGTCAAAACAGATGATCCTTCTGCCCCTCCCTCACCCCATCCACTGAGTAGGCTGGAGTAGGATGGTTGTTCCCGGGGCTGTTGGAGAGTACTATAAGTGGATGGTTTCTTATGGCAGACATACACAAAGGAAGTTATGTAGCACTGCAGACTCTTACCTTCAAGAACTCCGTGATCCATGGCTTCAGCATGGTATCCGGCTGAAAGGAGAAAAATAAGTCAGCTTTTGTTAACTTGCCAGCAGAATGTCTCTTAATTCATAATGCAAATAATACATAAAACATTTGTGAACTAAAATACATGCAAAGACTGTACCATGTAAACAAACTCACACACAAACAATGTAAAGATAGACAAAACACAAACAATATGAAGACAAGCAAACAAACACACACACACACACATACATCAATGAATAATAAACAAGAAAAAAAGGAAGAATGTTGAACAACCACCGAGCAGCATCAATTATTCACCTGGGTGACTCAGTGTCGGTGTGAAGGCTGAATAATTTCAGAGTTAAAGGTGGTGGTGAGGATGACCCCCAACCATCCACTCGGCCACGCTCTATTCTTGCTCCAATACCAGATATACCCGCCCACGGACATTTTTCATGGAGGAAGTCTATTTCCAAAATACAGGGTTGTCAATTATATTTGGGGTAGGCAGCAAGACATGTACAGTAGCAGCCTACAAAACCCCATAATGGGTTTAGAAATAATCAGGGGCTCTGACCCCTGTTTGTGGCCTTAGATGTTGGAGGTATTTTAAATGTGTTTTGCTGGGAGATGGACTTTCCTGGCACCATTTTCATAACTCTTGTGTTGCAAAATTTTGGAACTTAAAATACAAGGTTAGAGAAGTTCATTGTCAGCAGCTGGTGAGTGACAGTTAGACAGGCACCATTTTCTGCCAGCTAACTGCCACCCATAATGACAAAGATGAAACTTTCTATGACTCAAAACATCATAAGAACAAGACTGTTTCCACCAACTACAACAGGAGGATAGTGAAGGGACCACCTCTCTGACTATAACCACTTTATGACTAGGAGGGGAGACCTTGTACAGTACTGGAGGTGAATCCTAATTATTCCTGCCCTGAACCCACACATAAACAAACCCAGGACCATTACTGAGGTAATTCCAATCAAGATATTGTACCCCTGTATCTAGAGATTCAAATTCTTTCAGTCTACAGTGTTATCTTTCCTCGATATGGAAGTTTCAATGTAAGGTAGAATTATAGAAGAGAGTGGTGCAAGATAGGTACAATAGTAGTAAGACAAGGAAATACCATACTGTATAACCCTGGAAACAACAAAAAAAAAACGCACGCACGCACGCACGCACGCACGCACACACACACACACACACACACACACACACACACACACACACACACAGACACAGAATCGCTATATGAAGTGAATCTTTAACAATAATTCATGATGTTAGTTGTTACATACTGTACAGTATTAAGCTTAGTTACCAGATTCAGAAACGTTTATTTAGAGATGAAGAAATACACAGAATGATAAAAACTCTGAAAAAAGCCATAGGAAGAGTACTGTATATAATCCCCATGTGATGACAGGATAAACTACACCTCGAACCAACTTAGCCTTGTCACTTACACTGGAGTAATCTTGGTGTTTCATGAATAATATTATACAGAATGAAAAGGTCTATTTGTGAGTAGTATTTGTTTGTGAAGGTCATATTAGAGTGAAGCATTACCACATATGTGTATGGTACACTTGTAAATGTTGTATATAAAACTTGTACCATAAAACAGTTGAAAGTTCTGGGAGCATCTAATAATAAACTGCTTTCTATCTATAATTGGTGTCTTTGGTGGGATTACCTGTACATTTTTAATTAATTTCCAAATCCAATAGGTGACTAAATTAAGTGTTTCCAACCCTGATCTTTATTTTGACAGACACTGTACACGAGAAGCAGACAGATGATAATGTTCCCTTGACGAGTGATGTCTGACAGATACAGTGCTTGGAGATGTAGTTCAGTAATTTGGAAAAGCTACTGAAATTACAGCATACAGTACCCTTTACTTGTACTGTACTGCATTCAAGTCATGTACCATTTCATGTTAGGACGTTTTTCTTCCACAGTTGAGACCTTGACCTTTGACCTTATACACCACACATGACAACTCTAACATGCATAGCTATGGTGTGTGTGTTGCACAAGTATAAGTCAAAAATTAATGCATGCAGTAATTTTTTTTCCACTGTTTAAGGTTCCACCATACAGTTAGACACATATAAATTAAGTACAGTATAAACACCCATCTTATACAAACTTGTAGTGTACAGTATTCATCAATCTCATATTTGATTTCCTCAACTGTGTTATGCCTCTCCGTACTTTCACTTAAAGCTTATGATAGTTATTCTAGTCTCCTGAAGTTAATATTCTTTAAGATCCCACTCACAATTTTGTACAAAGGCAACTGTCCAGAAGAAAAGACAAGCTCAATCTGACTGTTGAGGTAATAATGACCAAAATACACAAGTGGCAGGTGGCAGCTTCTGTCAACAGCTTCACAATCTGCAATGTATCGTATATACAGTCGCTCCTCGACTTACTACATATTCGACTTACGACAACCCGGACATATGACAGCCATGGTCGTAGAAAATATTTTCACATTACATATTTTCGAGTCCCGACGTTAGTGATCGTGCTGTGCACTGAAAATTTGTTTGTTTGTAATTCCCTATAAAATGGCTGGCAAGCGTAAAAGTGAGAGTTTTCGTGGTGCTGAGAAGGAAAAGAGACGCCCATTTAAGAATTTCTATGTATTATTTTCGCCTTTTCGACTTACGACCTGGTCGTCGGGATGGAAGCCCATCGTAAGTCGAGGAGAGGCCGTATATAAACACAGTAATCTAATATACTATAGCACTATCCGAATGTATGTCTGCCTGTCTGTTTGTCTGTCTGTGCAGCCGAAACGGCACAATCGTTTTTCATCAAACTTGGTGGAAAATTCGCTAAAAAATTCGTAGAGTGGAACAAACCTGGTCCCATGTCGATGGTTTCTTTAGGAAGCCATTAACTAACCATTTTATTTATGATGGAAAAAGCACCCTAATTAACCAAGCAATCTACGGACTTGCCGCACCCTCATTCGCTGCATGCTGTCAGTCGGATACAATACAGTACAATACAGTTTTACTCCGCTTTACACGGTTTCACTCTCCGCGATTTCTCATTTACGCGGTACCTTGCCAGAACCAGACTTTCACTTTCCGCGGTGCATCTACTCATATACGCGGTGAAGTAAATTTTTTTTTTTATTTAGCTCATAAAATTCATACAAATTACCAGGCCAGAATATAATTTACATTGCTGGAATTCTTACAATATGATGATCATTTTGAATATAAACATCATGGATTTTGCATTAGACATACAAATTTTATTTTGAGCAAAATATATGAAGTTTACATTCAAAATATTCCCTGACCTGCAAGGAATCCAGAAATGTCAATTATATTATCCTAACTTTAGTCTCAGGTATTATTTATTACAAAACGTTAAAATCTAGTATTTTCACCCAACATTTCTCAGAAAGGTAGGAGCTAGTGAGCTGGGAAGAGGGGGGGGGGATATGAGTCCATTACAGGTACTCCCCGACTTACGACCGACTCGACTTACGTCCACCTGCACTTACGACCTGCCTCAGTCTTACCAAAATGTGGTCAAATTAAGTATTTTTAAGTCCCAAAAATAGTACACAGACAAAATTTTCATCTGTAATTCACTTTAAAATGGCTGGCAAGCTTTAAAGTGAGTGTTTTGTGGTGCTGAGAAGAAAAAGAGACCCAAATTTTCGATTTTCTATGTGTTATTTAAGTATTTCCGACTTACGACCATTTCGAATTACGACCTGGATGTCGGTCCCTAACCCCGTTGTAAGTCGGGGTTTACCTGTATTTGAATGGACATTAACCTGGCGACTGTATTTCTCTTAAATATTAATTGTGTGAGCATACCATCATAAAATTTAGATGTTATTTTTACTACAACATAGGTATTGTGTCGGAAAAAGTGGAGTTTGGGGGTCGGGCCAGTCTCTATTGGAATTAATCCCATATGTTCTGTTGTTCACTTTACGCGGTTTTCACTTTCCGCGGTACCCTGTGGGTTCAATTGACCTCGTAAATCGGGGTACTACTGTACCATACAATACCATACCATACAATACACAGCGAACTATAATTATTTGTAAGAATACAACATAATTATATAGACATGTAAGACTCACAACTTGATAAGATATCAGTAAAACATTAGCTAATGGAAATGTGATTAAATGTTTTGTTATTAATCCAGTGTGAAATGTATCGGTATTGGTGGTACAATGCTAATGGTCTCTAATCCTGTTGATCAGGTGAGGTTAATCTGGGTTTATTGAGATTAAAGATAAGGTGTGGGGTTTATTCTACCTGTGTTAGTCTCAGGTACGACCCTTATTGTAACAATCACGACCATGATTATAACAACCACGACCATGATTATAACTACCACGACCATGATTATAACAACCGGGACCATGATTATAACAACCACGACCATGATTATAACAACCACGACCATGATTATAACAACCACGACCATGATTATAACAACCACGACCATGATTATAACAACCACGACCATGATTATAACAACCACGACCATGATTATAACAACCACGACCATGATTATATGATAACAACACAGACCATGATTATAACAACCACGATGATTATAACAACCAACTATGAATAACCACGCCATGATTATAAATCATAACCACGACCATGAGATTAACAAATACGACGTGTGGGGTTTATATCTACCTGACCATGATTATAACAACCAGACCATGATTATAACAACCACGACCATGATTATAACAAGCACGACCATACGATTATAACAACCCACGACCATGATTATAACAACTAGGACCATGATTATAACAACCACGACCATGATTATAACACACGACCATGATTATAATAACACGACCATGATTATAACAACCATCCATGATTATAACAACCCGACCGATTATAACACACACACTATGATTATAACACCTACCGGTATAACATCCACGACCATGATTTTAACAACCACGACCATAATTATAAAAACCACGACCACGACCATGATTATAACAACCACGACCATGATTATAACAGCACGATGATATAACAGACCATGATTGTAACAACCAGACCATGATTATAACAACCACGACCATGATTATAAATACCACGACCTGATTATAACAACCATAACTATGATTATAACCAGACCATGATTATAACAACCAGACCATGATTATAACAAACCATGATTATAAATAACCACGACCATGATTATAACAACCACGACCATGAATATAACAACCACGACCATGATTATAATCACGAGAATGATTACAACAGCCACGACCATGATTATAACAACCACCACCATGATTATAACAACCACGATTATGATTATAACAACCACGACTATGATCATAACAACCACGACCATGATTATAACAACCACGACCATGATTATAACAACCACGACCATGATTATAACAACCACGACCATGATTATAACAACCACCACCATGATTATAACAACCATGACCATGATTATAACAACCACGACCATGATTATAACAACCACGACCATGATTATAACAACCAGGACCATGATTATAACAACCACGACCATCTGGAAAACGATGTCGCTGTATGCTGTCAGCCGGACGGCGGTTGCGCGCTCGCCAAGCACAAGCGTTCGAACTTTCACGCCTCGGTAAACTGTACCACCGGACTCGCCACCGGGCACGAAGGGCCCACGATCACTTGTATATAATGAAGAGTAAAATCAGCACTTGGTAAAACATCATTATTTACTGTAAGAGAGTTTTGGAGAGACTTCCTTCATCTTAAGACAATCTAAAACTAATGAAACAGAGAATAAAAACAAGCACTGTACCATACAATCACTGCAGACCTTCTCTTTGTTTAGAATTGCCTGATGTTATTTAATTCTGACTAAGTGTAGAGCCAACAACAAAAGCCTACTTACATTTTCTTAGCCTGCGACTACTTTACTGTACACACAATTCCCTACCAGCATTATCACACCACTTTAACTCTTGTGTTTAATGATGTAAAAAGTCACTGAAGACAATTTTAGTGTCTCTACTTCACACTTCTTTGTGCCATAAAAAAGTTAAGATTCTGTGAAATTATAATTTTTCAATTCATGAATATCACAATTGACTGACTGTGAAATCATTTTGTTGAGGCCAGCCTGCCATGATTCATACTATGACCAACTCTCAGTCAATCTTGTTTACTGTAATACACAGTTAATAAGATTTAAAATTATCTCCTTAATGTTACACAACAGCTTTGAGAAACCATAAAACATGAAAAGAACATGAAGCCTAAAAATGTTGTGGTAGTGTACAGTATATTGGGGGGTGAGTGACTAAGGCAGACAATAAGTGGATTAGTGACCATTTTTAACATGCTGTACAGTACCACCAATGTTATGGGCCAAGTGTCATGGAGAGTGACAGTCAAATGGGGTCCAACCTCATATAACCAACATAATGACTGCCCATGGTGCCCCTCATAAGACAACACCCTTTTAATGGTCCCTGTGATGGTTCTTCTCCTCTCTTGGGTTTTACACCTTTTCAAGAATTTCCAAGCTAAAACCAATCATTAGGGAAGGGGTCACCGCTTCATCTTTATGGGCAGCCGATACAAAATTTAATACATGGGAAGCATATCTAGTACTGTACTGCACATAAGATAAACTCATCAAAACCAATTTCAGGTATTAGTGAAATAGAAAAGTAAAAATAACTCATAACTACAAATTTCCAACAAAAATGTTATAGATTAAAAGTACAGTATGGACTTTTTCTCTATCTCCCTATATAAGACTCATTATAGAGTTCCATGTATAGCAAATACTATATATTAACCTTAACCAACCCTCCCACTTATTTCACCTGAAGATTAACCACCCTAATGTTACTGGGAGGTGTTAGGTTAAGTAAGGGTGGTGAACCTTCAGGTGAAATAAGCTGCAGGGGGGGGGGTCCTTTTTCTTCAGGTGATACAAACATTCTAATGCCTAAACAACTTACACCAAAACAATTGACGAGCTAAACTGAACTGCCAACAAAAACAAGGAATTCTAATGACTAAGCTCCTATAGAAATAAGACATTTTGACTAGTGAATTACCTCTAAGACATAAGACATTCTAATGACTCACTTAAGCCATACCATAACTTAACAAAATTAGACATGGCAACAACAACTACACTAGCCATACTAAATTACCAACCTTATGTAACGAGACATCTCACTAACTGAACTACAGCACCGACAAAACACATTATATCTTCATATCCTAAATAACGGATTTTTGTTCTTTGCAAATTTCACTAAAACATTTCATTGGAAATTTGACGAGCAGGAAAAAAACGACGTTGAATTTATATTTGCGCCAGTAGCTATGTTTTGGTTACGGCAAATGACAAAAACTAAATTCATGTCATGTCGAGCCTAATTTTACTAGGATTGGATCACAGAGGAATATAAACTCTGATTTAGAAGTACTTAGTGATTTGTGACTAATAAACTTAACCATAATTTGCTTCTAAAATTACATCACTGATCATTTACACTGTACATATTTTTTTTTTCAATTGACTTAAGTATGATTTAGGAAGTAAATAAAATAAAAATGGTGGCTAAATTACCAGTCACAGCAATAACCGACAAATTGTTTTGGGCTATTTTCCTGGTCTATTGCTTATTTTCATCTACGTATTTATTTATTTTTAATAATTTTCGCTACTTATCATCCAAATACCAGTTCGAGTGGTTGGTCTACCCAGTGTTAGTGTAGGACAGTGGGGACGGTAAACCTGTCATGTTTGGTAGTCAGGGTCACACTGGATAGCTAAAACCCTTCTCACGTGTATCCGGGCCGAGGCTTGAACCCTTGACATATTGGTGAGTAACCGTAGCATGCAAAGAAAAACTGACTTATTACGATATTTATAAACAAAAAAAAAAACCTTATTTGTTAGGTTAGGTTAGGGACTGGCAAAATAACCCAAAAACAGCCTGTCAGCTAATTGCCATGACAGTAATTTACCCACACACCAGATATACATTCTATGCCTTCAAACAATATCTTATTATAGAAACAAAAAGACTAACTTCCTGTCAAAACTAAATACAAGAAATAAAAAAAAATATCAACAAACACAAGATCATTATAACAATAACATCTACTAATGACTGAATGACCTCAACAACCTAAATGACCTACCAACTGAATGACCTCCCTAAACAAGACTATAACTAACCTCTGAAACACTGAATATATTATAACATTTTAACATCTGAATGACCACTACACACCAACCTCTCTTAATGACTATACTACCTCTCTAAACAAGACACTTAGGTAGTTAGTGTACCTACAGGAGGGCTGGGTGTTAGGACGTATCTTTATCTCACCTGTTCAAAGCATGAGGCGATGTTGGCGGTGACTAGTAGCATCCGAGTACTTGAGGAGTTAGCCATGGTGAGTGAGTGCCAGGGAGCTACTACCAGTGCCACACACAGACTAAAGGGGGGGGGGGCGGGAGGTGCCACACTCCTCCTCCTCACTTCACGGGTTTCCTCTTTATTAGATTAAGGCGCCATTCTGATGAGAAAAGCACCACCACCACTTGCCAGCACTGTTGCATGGGGTGAGGTCAAGGTGGAGCAACAGGAGCAATAAACCACGCCTACATAGGTTGACGCCACTCATCGATACTCCCAACTGAGCCTCACACACGACCAAGATCAACACAGAAAATGGGACAGCTTGTGTTAATAAAATACCACGAACACTATTATTATACCATATACTTATGTTGGAAAGGTGTTATTAAATATCTTTATTAATAGTATATAAATAATTTTATTATAATTTAGTAGTTTTGATTGCGTAATATTTTATTTGAAAAGTTTGTGTTACTTGTAAAATAAATAGTTTAGAGGTCTCGTTCGTGGTATTCTTATAGCATGTCTTTTCGGGGACGGTATGGTAGAAGGGGAGGAGCTACAGAGGTATTATATTATGTATGGTATCAACTCTCTATTATTTGTATTTTCAAAAAAAAGTAGGATATTTCAAACATATTTTATAATTATGCTTATAATATTCGATTGTGTAATTTCATCCTAATTTGGTGACAAATAAATTGTAAGCTTGTATTCTATATATTTTTTCATTGCCATGTCACCGACACATTACGTCAAATTTCGGATCATCAGCTGATATATCCTTAATATACTCTGTGTATTTATAATCACTATCACCAGATATAAACATCCAAACTGTGAATTAAGTTGGTTTAAACATGGTAATATTGTAGTATGTGGCAACAGTGCGCCACCCCTCCCCCACCCACATCCCTCATCCGAATCTCCGACTTAACACACTACGGAGATGACGAGAACACGCCGCAAGTTACCCCTAATATTATGCTGTTTGATAGTGATATTCTTGTTTGTGAAGAAGGGCAAGCAACTACAACAATACGAGCATTTCATCCCCAATCAAGAACCGAAGGCTGTGTGGGATGTACTGGCGGACTTCAGTAATATGCCTCATTTGAATACAAGAATGTAAGTACTGTACCCATATCTCAAACCTCTTTACATAATACATCAGAATACAAACGCTTTATTGTCACAAAAAGTTATGATAAGGTGATTTATGTATTATCCCACTTGTTCTGAGGAGTCTGGTAGTGATTTAAATAAGATAGAGTAATACTTTTTTGAATCCTTTAAGTTTATTACGTAACCGAAACCCGAGTCAATGTCCGAATGCAGTAGCCTTCAACACACCCTTATATTATTGCTTTATTTTCAATGAACAAGGCAATTAAAGACGTGAACCATAATTTGTGTTGATTTAAAGCACCCTGAATGACGTTAAATGATGATTAAGGAGGGATTATTCCTTTAATTTCAATAAAACAGTGGGACATGAAAAAAACAAACAGAAGCAGTCGTCAAGACACTTAAGTATTTTTCGTTCTGTAATTTGGTTAATGTTTGTGGAAGTTACGCACGCATACACACCTACACGCACACACACACACACATATACACTTACACGCAGTCACACACACATACAGTACACATCAACAGGCATGCACACACGCAATCACATACACCTACGCATAGTTACACACACACATACACACACATACACAAACCAAAGAGGTAGAACTCGTTTGTTTTAATTTAATCAATATTTTCTCTTATAATTTGGGTTACTGTAGGTAAATTATTTTTTAGCAGTTCTAACTCAGTCTTCAAAAGCTCTAAGACCACGTATAAAGTTTCCGGAGTTCTATGTATGTATTTAACCTACCATGTATGTAAATAGATTCTCATGTATGTTTAGTGTATCGTGTATGTATAGCCATGTGCTTATAGATTCTTATGTATGTACAGTACAGTATAGTGCTATGTATGTATAGTGTATCGTGTGTGTATAGATCCTCATGTATGTATAGAGCCATGTATACATAGCGTATAGTGTATGTATAGTCATGTGTATAGATCATCATGTATGTATCGTATATGTATTGTGTTATATGTGCAGGGCCGGATTCAGGAGTGGGCAAAGTGGGCAGCTGTCCAGGAGCCTCCACATGTGCGGTAGTAGCTATATCAGGGCTGGTCGACATGAATGACTCCAGTCATGTCTCACTTTTGTGTGTGTGTTGGGAATTTGTACACTATCAATAAATATACAGTTAATTAAAAATTTCTCAATGTTCTGATTTCCTCAATATAACTGCATATGGCTTCAAAATTCTCCAAAGAAGTGTTCAAATTTCAAAATTTCCCCGGGGGGCTTACAGCGCCCCCCGGAACTCCCAGATGTTTAGGCTCGCTTCACTCGCCACCCCACCCTCTGGGTAGTTATAATGAGGGGGGCCTCCACAAAGAAGCTGCCCATGGGCCTCCACAGGTCTAAATCCGGCACTGTATATGTGTATAGTTCCTCATGTATGTATAGGGTCAGATGCGTAGAGAAATTCATGTATACATAATATCATGTATGTATAGAGAGCATCGTGTACGTTAATAGTCCTTACCGTGTGTACGTATAGCGGTTCCATATGTATACACAGAGTGCATCATGTGTATGTATATAGGTCCCAACCACGTGTGTGTGTGTGTGTGTAATAATAATAATAATAATAATAATAATAATAATAATAATAATAATAATAATAATTAACGGTTTGTTGAAAGAGCATGGCAGACGGTGTCGAGGATGGTGCAGAAGCTTCTCACCAAATTTGCAGGTCGTGGTGATGGTCAGAGTGCCGACAGGGTCAGTGTGTTGAGCGCTTCTTGATATGTGGAGTAGGAAGGGCAGAGAATAATCTTGCATGCCCTCTTTTGCACTTTTTCTAGGTGTTTACGTTGTGTGGCATTTAGGGAGGAAGACCAGGTGGGGGAGGCATAGGTGAGCTTGGGAAGTATGAATGTTGATTAAACACTGAGGAGCTCTGGCGCAGGAACTCCGAGGGACTTGAGTCGGCGGAGGAGGTGGAGACGGAAACTGGAGGATTTGACAACTTCACTGACGTGTGGTTTCCAATTTAGTTTGTTGTCTATGGTGACGCCGAGGATCTTGGTGGAGTCTACAACCTGGAGTGTGTTGGGGCCTAAAGTAATGGAAGGAGGTGGGACAAGGTCGGAGGAGAGGTTAATCCCAATGGTGGACTCGTCGACATATTTCCAGCGAGCAGAGGTTTCTCTTAGGGCATCATTGATAAGCATAAGGAAGCAGAGTGGTCCCATAGGCGGTATATGTAGTCGAGAAAGCTGACAAGACAGTGAGTGGTGGAGGAAGTTTTCATGTTGCCAAATTGCTGAGGATCTACGGCTCCTGCAATATCAGCATAAGCCCAGTTGAACACAAAACTTTCATAGATTAAGCTGGGTATTGGGGTGATGGGTATGGGTCGTGTGTGTGTGTGTGTGTGTGTGTGTGTGTGTGTGTGTGTGTGTGTGTGTGTGTGTGTGTGTGTGTTTCATATGTGCACAGACCATATTTAATGCAGCAAAGGTCACACCTGAGCACCATAGGACAGGTAAGCCATTGTTATTCTTCCCTACCTCAACCCCCACCCTCCCACCCTCAACCCCCCAACACCCCCCCCACTCGCCATATAGGGTAGTATGACGTCACCATCCCACCCTCCCCGTCACCACCAGTTAAGATGACCACGATAACTCCCCCCAACCCTTTGTTTACCTGTCATAACCTCCTACTCATCCCTCACCTCCTGTCACCTACCCTCCTCACCTACCCTCCGTCACCTACCCTCCTCACCTACCCTCCTCACTCCCTCACCTACCACCCCCCTTACTGGAATTTTAAGAGGTGTCTGTGTCTTTGTGTGTGTGTGGGGGGGGAGGGGGGTAGTACACGAGCAGCAATTGTGAGAGCTCTTGTTTGTGGTTAATCTTACCATTACGACAGAAACGGAGGAGGAAGAGGAAGCGCGGGAGGAGGAGGAGGAAGAGCGGGAGTAGGAGGAGGAAGAGTGGGAGGAGGAGGAGGAAGAGAGGGAGGAGGAGGAGGAAGAGCAGGGGGAGGAGGAGGAGGAGGAGGTTAGTTTTTAGAACCAGAGTAGAGAAGTAAACGCTGGAAAGACGGAGGTTCTGGGAGAGAGGACGGGAAGGAGGGAGGGAAGGAGGAACATAAGAACATAAGAACATAAGGAGTCTGCAATAGGCCGGTTGGCCTGTGCATGGCAGCTCCTGTCGAGAGTTACTACCACTCACTATCATCCATGAATCTATCTAGCCTCCTTTTAAAACTTTCCAGAGTTCCCGCACTTACTACAAAGTTGCTAAGCTTGTTCCACTCGTCCACCACCCTATTTGTGAACCAGTTTCTTCCTATCTCCCTCCTAAACCTAAACTTATCCAACTTAAATCCGTTGCTCCGAGTCCTATCCTGCTCGGATATTATAAGAACTTTATCTATATCTCCTTTATTGATTCCTTTCACCCACTTAAATACTTCTATCATATCTCCCCGCACTCTTCGTCTTTCTAGGGAATACAAGTTTAGTTTCTTTAACCTATCCTGATATGGGAGGTTTCTAAGTCCCGGAATCATTTTCGTCATTCTTCGCTGCACCGACTCTAGTGAATTGATATCCATTCTATAATAAGGGCACCAGAACTGAACCGCATAATCGAGGTGCGGCCTGACTAGCGCAAGATATAGTTGAAATAAGACCTCTGCACTCTTATTACTTACACTTCTACATATAAAACCCAATACTCTGTTTGCCTTATTTCGAACATTAATGCACTGTTTTCTAGGCCGTAGGCCAAGGCTTACAAGTACCCCTAGGTCTCTTTCACAAGTCGACTTCTCTAGGTTGATGTTGTTAAGGCTGTATACATTGACAGTATTTGTTCTTCCAATATTAAGTACACTGCACTTGCTGGTGTTGAATTTCATTTGCCATTTTCTGATCACTCCTGCAGTTTATTTAAATCCTCCTGTAGTGCATTTGCATCCTGCCCTGAATTAATCTGCCATCCTATTTTGGTGTCATCCGCAAACTTGCTTATGTCACTGCTGATCCCAGTATCTAGATCGTTTATGTAGATCATGAACAAGAGTGGGCCCAGTACTGACCCCTGGGGAACCCCACTCGTTACACAACCCCACTCAGATTTAACACCATCTACGCTGACCCTCTGCGTTCTATCGGTGAGCCATGATTTTATCCAATTTAAAACTTTCCTCTCGACACCACGAGCCTTAAGTATTCTCAGAAGCCTCTGATGCGGTACTCTGTCAAACGCTTTGTTAAAGTCTAAGTAAATAACATCGTAATTTTCGTCATTATCTACTACCTCGAAGACTCTCCTAAAAAACGGCACCAGATTTGTTAGACAAGATTTTCCCTTTGTAAACCCATGTTGCGAGTCGTAGATTAATTTGCTTTTCTCTAGATGCGATCGGATGCTATTTGCTATAATTGATTTAAGAAATTTCCCCACTACTGACGTCAAACTGATCGGCCGGTAATTTGACGCTGATGCTCTGTCTCCCTTTTTGAATATGGGTACTACATTTGCCTGTTTCCACAAGTCTGGCACAACTCCCGTGTCCAATGATTTTGTCAATAAATTTACGAGGGGTCCGCTAATCTGCTCCCTACACTCTTTCAAAACTCGAGGGAAAATTTCATCCGGCCCTGGGGATTTTGTCTTCTTTAATTTATTTATCTTCTGAAGAACATCCTCTTTTCTGATAATGATATTCTTTAATTTCTCTTTTTCATTTCCCCTAAATATAGGAAGGAAGGAGAGGCGAGAAGGATGGATAGAGAGAGGAAGGGTAGGAGGAGATGAGGGATGTGGACAGGTGGAAGTGAGATAGGTAAGAGGGTCGGATGGGTGAGGGGTCGGATGGGTGAGGAGTGGGGTGGGTGAGGGGTCGGATGGGTGAGGGGTCGGATGGGTGAGGGGTCGGATGGGTGAGGTGCCGGATGGGTGAGGGGTCGGATGGGTGAGGGTCGGATGGGTGAGGGTCGGATGGGTGAGGGTCGGATGGTGAGGGGTCGGATGGGTGAGGGGTATGGGTGAGGTGTCGGATGGGAGAGGGTCGGATGGGTGAGGGGTCGGATGGGTTAGGAGGGGTGGGTGAGGGGTCGGATGGGTGAGGGGTGGGTGAGGGGTCGGATGGGTGAGGGGTAGGATGTTTGAAGTGAGGGGAGGTTGGGTGAGTCGTGTGTGACTGAAGGATGCCAAGGAAATTGAAATTGAAGTTACTTATGACTGTGAACTGGTCGGTGGTGATGTGTGGAGTAGAGGAGGAGGAGGAGGAGGAGTCTGAGATAAAGATGTTGGAGTGTAACCTGAGTGTGTCAATCAGAAATGGGTTGAGAAACGAAGATATCAGACCAAGAGAGAGAGAGAGAGAGAGAGAGAGAGAGAGAGAGAGAGAGTAGTTCACTGTTTAGTTTTACTTTAACAAATTTATTGACAAAGCTTGTAGTACAGTTTGTCTCTTCTGGATAGTTCAGTCAGGTCTTGACACTGAGGTTGGTATCACTGTTCACGGCCACGCAGGACAGAGGTTCATACACAGTAGAAGTCATATTCTATTTAAGGACTAATCAGTGTGGACCAGCAGCAAATTTAGGATAAACAGCAAAATTGTCCTCAAACACTCCTGATTCAATGTAGTAATTACAAAGTTCATGATACAATAAGTCAGGTGGCCTGAAGTCTTTGACAGTGTCACATTCAATAATATAGTGTTCAAGTGTATGCTTTAAAGGTTTATCACAAAGTTTACATGCTGAGTGTTCCGGTATGGGTACAGCGTTACTAACTTGCCAGATGTGTCTGTATCCTAGCCTAACTCTGGCCACGCCTACATCACATTGTCTGGTTCTGTCCTTATGCTGGCCACACCGGTACCTCTTGTCACAAAATTTGTCATATTTATTGATGCTACAACTGTCAGGTCTCTGTGCTTTCTTCAGTTCTTCTAGATCAGATTTCATTATTTTAACTTGTACAACGAGAAGAGGAGGAGGGGAGGGGAAGGAGGGGGAGGAAGGGGAAGAGGAGGAGGAGAAGGAGGAGGAAGAAGGGGAGGTGGTAACATGAGACAGTAATGTTTTTGTGTTTGTTTTTATTTCTCTCATTCTTTTTCTCTCACCCTCCCACTCTCTCTCTCTCCAGACAGAAGTGGGAGCTACTAGACGAGTCAGGGAACTACGACAGCTGGAGGTATCGCGTTATCACCTATGAGGACATGATCGGTGGGTTTATCTTCGGCCTCAACGAGAACCACGGCGAGGTGTTGGTTGAGCCCGTCTCCCCCCCTGACCACTATTACCACCAAGAGGTCTACACCACCAAGAGTCTCTATGGCTTGATTATAAGTAAGTTTCTAAGGGATTTAACGTAGGTTGAGGTGGTAACAGTGGTTTTAAAGTTACAGGGAATATTTTGGGGAGTTTTTTTTTTTAAGTTCTGAGAGTCTACACCACTACGAGTCTCTAAGGCTTGATTATAGTAGGATTCTAAGGGGTTTAACGAGGGTTGAGGTGGTAATAGTGTTTATATAGAGACGAGAAATTTCTTTGGGGTTTTGTAGGTAAATTGTGAGAGTATACAGTCCTTGTTTACTCACAGGGTTGCAGAAAATTTGTCCCCAGGGAATTTTTGGGTGTTGTGAAATGGAAATGTTGTTACGAGGGCGTCACTGGTTGTAATCGTCTGGATAAAAGAATATGGATTTCCCCGATTAAGAGTTGGGTATTGCCAGGTCTTCCTCACACACACACACACACACACACTCTCTCTCTGTGTTTGGTTATATTTCCTTGCCTGTTATCTCTCCCTCCGTCTGTTTGTTTGTCTGTCTCTGTGTGTGTGTGTGTGTGTGTGTGTGTGTGCTGCTCTCTACATGTGTGTATGTGTGTGTGAGAGGGGTGGTGGTGGTGGTATTGGTGGCGGTGGTGGTGGTATTGGCGGTGGCGGTGGTGGTGGTGGCGGTAGTGGTGGTGTATGTGGTGGTGGTATTGGTGGTGGTGGTGGCGGTAGTGTTGGTTGTAAAATAAATAATAATAATAATAATAATTAACGGTTTATTGAAAGAGCATGGCAGCCAGAAGGCTGAAAATATACAGTTACATATTTGGGGAATGGGTTTCGAATTACAAATAATATACAAGTAATATAAGTGATACAAATAAGATATATAATAACTAGATGGGAAAAAGCTCAAACTACAGTGCATTTCAACATAGTGACAGTGCAAGAAGTAGTATTACCGGGAGTGAATACACTGGTTTATTACAAGTTATTGATAATTTTTACAATGGTTGGGACTGGGCTGTTCTTATAGCGATCAGTTCGTGCACGTATGGGCTGGATGCGGTTGTGGTGTCGAACAGCAATTCTCGGGCTAGGTATCTCAGGTGGTAGTAGGAGCCGGTGTCGAGTATGGTGTAGAAGCTTCTTACCAAATTTGCAGATGAGGTCGTGGTGATGGTCAGATGAGATCGAAAGGGTCAGTGTGTTGAGCGCTTCTTGATATGTGGAGTAGGAAGGGGAGAGAATACTCTTGCATGCCCTCTTTTGCACTTTTTCTAGGTGTTTACGTTGTGTGGCATTTAGGGAGGAAGACTAGGTAGGGGAGGCATAGGTGAGCTTGGGAAGTATGAATGTTGGTAAACACTGAGGAACTCGGGTGCAGGAACTCCGAGGGACTTGAGTCGGCGGAGGAGGTGGAGACGGAAACTGGAGGATTTGACAACTTCACTGACGTGTGGTTTCCAATTTAGTTTGTTGTCTATGGTGACGCCGAGGATCTTGGTGGAGTCTACAACCTGGAGTGTGTTCGGACCTAGAGTAATGGAAGGAGGTGGGACAATGTCGGAGGAGAGGTTGATGTGCATAACCATGGTCTTGGTATGGTTGATGGTGACATGGTTGTTGGTGGCTCAGTTTTGGAGACTGTTCAATAAATCCTGAAGGGCGGTATAGTCGGGAGCAGAATTGTTGACGCTGATCCCAATGGTGGAGTCGTCGACATATTTCCAGCGAGCAGGGGTTTCTCTTAGGGCATTGGTATTGGTGGTATTGGTGGCGGTGGTGGTGGTGGTGGTGGTGGTGGTGGTGGTGGTGGTGGTGGTGGTGGTGGTGGTATTGCTGGTGGTGGTGGCGGTGGTGGTGGTGGTGGTGGTATTGGTGGTGGTATTGGTGGCGGTGGTGGTATTGGTGGTATTGGTGGCGGTGGTGGTGGTGGTGGTATTGGTTGTGGTGGTGGTGGTATTGGTGGTATAGGTGGCGGTGGTGGCGGTGGTGGTATTGGTGGTGGTGGTGGTATTGGTGGTGGTGGTGGTATTAATGGTATTGGTGGTGGTGGTGGTGGTATTGGTGGTAATGAACATAAGAACATAAGAACATAAGAATGGAGGAAACTGCAGCAAGCCTATTGGCCCATACTGGGCAGTCCCGTTTACACCCAACCCCTATTGCTCATATAAGCATCCAACCTATGTTTGAAGCTATCCAGCGTATTAGAGTTAATGATGATATTTGGTAACTTGTTCCACTCATCAGCTACTAATTCCAAACCAGTGTTTACCTATCTTGTGCCTAAATCTAAATTTGTCTAATTTAAAACCATTGTTACGAGTTCGCTCCTGGTTGGATATTTTGAGTACCTTTGTAATGTCCCCTTTTGTTTAGCCCTGACTTCCACTTATACACCTCTATCAGGTCGCCCCTCGCTCTACGTCTCTCTAGGGAGTGCAAATTAAGATGCTTTAACCTGTCTCTATACTCAAGGTTCCTAATGCCCGGGATTAGTCTTGTCATTCTCCTCTAAATTCTTTCCAAGGATTCTATATCCATTCTGTAATACGGTGACCAGAACTGAACTGCGTAATCCAGGTGTGGTCTCACAAGCTCAAGATACAGTTTTGGGATGACCTCGCTAGTCTTGTAACTAACACTCCTTTGTATGAACCCAAGTACTTTTTTAGCCTTGTTACTCGCAAAAACACATTGTTTACTTGGCTTAAGGTTCCTATTTATCATTACTCCTAAATCTCTCTCGCAGTCGGATTTCTCTATGGCATCGTTGTTCATCTGGTATCTGGTTTCCCTGTTTACATCTCCTATACTGAGTACTTTACATTTGTCTACGTTGAATTTCATCTGCCATTTTTCAGACCATTCGAAAAATTTGTTTAGATCTTCCTGTAGTTTTGCCGAGTCCTCGTCAGATTTAATAACACGCCCTATTTTAGTGTCATTAGCAACTTTGCTTATGTTGCTGTCTATGCTGATATCTATGTCGTTTATGTGTATAATAAATAATAAAATAATAATGGTTCAAGTACTGAGCCTTGGGGAACTCCACTTGTGACGTTGCTCCAATGGGACTTAGTGCCTTTAATGCTCACTCCCTGTTTCCTGTCTGTAACCACGCACTAATCCATTTAAGGATATTACCTTTGATGCCATGTGCTTCTACCTTTCTAATTAGTCTTTCGTGGGGGACTCTGTCGAAGGCTTTGCTAAAGTCGAGATATACCACATCATAATTGTGCCCCTCGCCCACCGATTCGAAAACTGATGAAAAGAATGTTAATAGATTAGTTAGACAAGAACGTCCGCTTGTGAAGCCATGCTGGGAATCATTGATCAATCTGCGCTTCTCCAGGTGATTTCGAATAGAGTTTGAAATGATTGCTTCCAGTAATTTGCCTACTATTGATGTTAGACTGATTGGGCGGTAGTTAGAGGATAGTGATCTATCCTCCTTCTTGAAAATTGGTATTGGTGGCGGTGGTGGTGGTGGTGGTGGTGGTATTGGTGGTGGTATTGGTGGTGGTGGTGGTATGGTGGCGGTGGTGGTGGTATTGGTGGCGATGGTGCGGCGGTAGTGGTGGTGGTATTGGTGGTGGTGGTGGTACTGGGTGGCGGTGGTGGTGGCATTGCGGTGGTGGTATTGGTGGTGGTGGTATTGGTGGTGGTGGCTGTGAGAGGAGAGAGGGTATATATATATATATATATATATATATATATATATATATATATATATATATATATATATATATCACACACACATCGTCTCATGTCAACTAATCAGGTGATTTGCTCACAGGATGAAGCTTATTATTTTTTAATATTTTATATAGTTTTATGATAATTAAATTTATTTGTGGGTAAAACCTCTTGTGTGTGTTGTTGCAAGTAATGAATTCTGTCGTGTGTGTGTGTGTGTAATAATAATAAAATAATAAATAATAATAAACGGTTTATTAATAGAGTTGCAGCCGGTGGCTGAAAATATACAGATTTACATTTGATTTAGACATAATGATATAATATGCATTGAATACATTTACAGGGCTGTACAGTACATAAATCAGGAGTTGTTTATTATTTTAACAATAGATGGGATGGTGCTGTTCTTATATCTATCGGTGTGGGCTCTTATGGGCTGAATTTTGTTGTAGTGGCGGACTGCGAGAGTTGGGTGGGGGGCTGCAGGTTGCAGGAGGTGGCGATGGCGAGGGTGGTACAGTAGTCCACTGCCAAACCTTTCCAGTGCTTGATGGTGGAGGTCACTGAGGGATGGCATTTCCAGGGTGGAGAGAGCGTTGGTGTGTGTGTGTGTGTGTGTGTGTATGTGTGTGTGTGTGTGTGTGTGTGTGTGTGTGTGTGTGTGTGTGTGTGTTAAGAAGTCTCATGGTTCAGGCGTCCTTATGTGCAACATCTGTGGACGACACTGCCTGTCCCGTATCGGCCTCTCGAGTCACCTCAGAGCTCACCAACGAAGGTGATATCTTTGTAACCGCCAATGAGGCGGTTAAAGGAATATTCAGACCCATGACGTTGAACTCGAACATTATAATTTGGTCAAACCTGTTGGATACAATTCATTTTAGTATTTCACATAAATCATACATAGGCAGTCACATAGATGTCTAATCCACTATATATTTACATAACAATCATAGCTGTGTAATCAGTCTAATCTTAACACTTACAATGAGTACTTAATTTTCCATATTTTTATGTCGTCACAATGATAAACGATGCAATGCACACAGTCTACCTGTGTACACAATAAGTACCAGTTAAACTTACGTGTTGAAAGTCTCAAGGGAAACCAGGTTAGGTGCTGCCTCTGTGATCTGAATAACTACAGAGGAACCAGGTTAGGTGTTGCCTCTGTGGTGTGAATAACTACAGAGGAACCAGGTTAGGTGTTGCCTCTGTGGTCTGAATAGCTACAATGCCGATACCCTACTGTCGCCTCCCCAACCCTTTCGATGGGCAAGGCTGAGTCAGGTGATTATTATTATACATAAACAAAACTCCCCTTACACACTCCAATCCCCTCTGGGCCTCTCATCTCCACCATCTCAACACTCTACACACTGTATACAGGCAGGCACACTCAATAAACATGACATGACTTACAGCCTAACATAATGTTTGTGTATGTGTCATCCCACTCATTACTGCTTGCGGTAACAATCTTTAATAACTCATATTATTGTATCATAGCTGATGCCATTGCTCTAAGGTTCTGTAGGCCAGTAGAAGGTTTGCCCTCCCAATGCGTGTGCGACTCATTTTATGACATCGACCGCGCCATGGTGTGCAAGAAAGGGGGCTTCGTATGCATGAGGCATGATGAAGTAAGGGATCTAACAGCATATCTACTGAGGGAAATCTGCCATGACGTCATGGTTGAGTCGTCCCTCCTTCCATTGGATGGTGAGAACCTCCGTCACGACTTCAAACACATCCAACGATGCCCGTGTGGACTTCAGTGCTCGAGGATTCTGGACGTGGGGACAGTGAGCTTTCTTCGACATAAGGATTTTTTATCCCATGGTTGCATGTCACCGTAACCTAGCTCTCGATGGTGCACACAGGAGGAACGAGAACGACAAGATAAGGGAATACGGGGAGAGAATTCAGAACGTTGACCAAGGCAGCTTCACTCCTCTAGTGTTCACAACCTCTGGTGGGATGGGCCCAAGTGCAAGATGCTTCTACGCTAGACTCGCGGAGGTGATCTCCGAATAGAAGCAGCAGCCCAGAAGTTATGTTACAGCCTGGATGAGATGTCGACTGTCCTTCTCTCTCCTTAGGTCGGCTTTGCTCTGCCTCAGGGGAACGAGAGCATCGGCCCCAAAGCTCAACACAGCTAGGATAGCTACTTATGTATTAGGATAGCTAAGTTTAAGGTAATAAAATGGCGGCGAAGGTGTGGCTATAGGGGGAGGATGGAGGCCACTTAAAAGAGAAAGAAAAAAGTAGTAGTAGTAGTAGTGTGTGTGTGTGTGTGTGTGTGTGTGTGTGTGTGTGTGCGTGCGTGTGCGTGTGTGTGTTTAAATAATTGTGTTAGGCAATGGAACTCAAGTTAGACATAGATAGATAGATAGATAGATAGATTGATAGATAGATAGATAGATAGATTGATAGATAGATAGAGATTCTCGTACGTGTGAATTTTTTCCATTTTTTTATGATCATGTTATTTAGTGTTTGGATTTTTTTTACGCTGATGTTTGTTTGTTTTTGTTTTTGTTTCCCGGTTAACAAGTAGAACCTTCTTCTTCTTCTTCTTCTTCTTATTATTATTATTATTATTATTATTATTATTATTATTATTATAGTTGACATAACAGGTGGTTGGTGTCACTCATGTCTGTCTGTCTGTTTCTCTTTTCTGTTTTTGTTTCCTCTTGTTTGAAGTCTCTCTCTCTCTCTCTCTCTCACCCTCTCACCATCTCTCTCTCTCTCTCTCTCTCTCTGTTTGTTTACATATTCATCAGTCTGTCAAGGTACACACGATGGGTTGACCAAAAGACGTTGTGCTGTGTTCCCTCCAAGGTGAAAGATCACTGGGTTAAACAGTGATGAGGGCGGTGGACGGTCTCTTTCAGCCCCAAGGTCAAAGTTCAATAACAGAGAGAGAGAGAGAGAGAGAGAGAGAGAGAGAGAGAGAGAGAGTATATAATATGCATACAAGCAACTGTAATATGTACGCACACACACACACACACACACACACACATACACCCTCTGTAACAATAAACTTCACCAGCTGAATCATCACTTCACACCTTCAAAAATTCAGAATACAACGATATCAGCAAAACCCACCTTGAAGTATTCTTGTCTCTCATGACGTCAGAGGTCAGAGGTCAAGGGCCGTTTATCAGGATTGAAGGTTGATCAAATGACTCTGGAGGGAATGAGGGGAGGGGGGTGGTGTTGTATAATAATCTTGAGGTCAACCTTCAAGGATCAGGTTATATACGTCTGTAGAATAAGAAGTTAGAGGTCAAGAGTGAAGGGTTTAGTTGTTTATTTTTTTGTTATTTGTTGACAACTTTTGTATATCTGTTTGGCTAACTACCTTGTTTGTATACCTGCACTGTCTACAATAAGGTTGGTGAGCTGCATATATTTTCATACCACTACACTATTAAATTATTTTTATATTACGTTATGGATGATGTCACCTTTAAGATAGTTTACCCATAACAATATTACGTTTTCTATATATACTACAGCTAGACAGTACGTTTTCCTTATTTAATCCCTTACTTCTGTGTTTTTCTTTTATACAACCAGTTGGGAATCACTTCAAGTTTATATTTAGTATTTTAGCTCTTAAGACGTTACTGTTGATATATTCTTTGTTATTTTGTTATGAACTGTATCGTCCAGCTGAGCGTCTGTCCCGGGTCAAGATGCTGTCGACCAGGAGAAAGATCTAACCGCTATTTGGAATTATAGTTTGATACCCAAAAATCATTGGTATTTTGGGAAACTAATTAACAATATACTAACTTTATACCATAGCCAAGAAATTTGAACATTTAAGATATTTGACTTAATATCTATCTATATGTATGTATGTATGTATGTATGTATGTATGTATGTACTGGTATGTACCAACAACTAATATAGCACTTTCTTGTTCCCCAACTTCATAGTCAAGAACTATGGTAAGATGCACTTACGTCGGGCGACTGAGGAAGGCGTGACGGGGACACTAGCGAAGCAGGAGGTGTTCAGTGATTGTCCTCTCCTCTTCCACTACCTGTGTGACGTGGAGATGAGGCTGGGCAGGGAAGAGTTCTTTAAAAACTTGGCCAATTGGTTCTCTAAAGAGCAGCAGCACTGATGGTATTCTCGAGGCGATGTGTTCCCTAGTTCTTAAGTGGCAAAGACTGTGATCAAGTGATTTGTTTTTGCAGGATAAGGAAAGGTATTTTTTTTACTAAGTTCGTAGATAGTTTTGAACAAGATCTGGGAAAAGTGAAGGTAGTTTTGACCAATTTTTTTTTACCAAGTTTGTAGATAGTTTTGACCAAGATCTGGGATATGTAAAGATAGTTTTGACCAAGTTTGTAGAAAGTTTTGACTAAGTTCGCTAGACAAGTGAAGGCAGTTTGCGTAAGTACAGTAACGATAGTTTTGACCAAGTTGATAAAGGAAAATATACCAAGATTTATGGACCAGTAAGCAGTTTTAAGGAACATATATGAATAAACAACATCAACAGAGCCATAGGTAAACAGTTCCTTTAAACAGAGGCACGTTTTGTGTTTTTTTTTCACAAGTAGCAGTAGTCATTTTTGTTTGTGTTTAAGTAACAGCTATTTTCACCGTGTTTACTACTTATAAGAGGGAAAGTAGCGTAGTTTTAGACTATTTTTATAGGACACTACCAATGTTTACATAAGCTGGGATTAGTGAATTACTTTTTTAAGCCGTTTATGTTATAATTTAGCAACATAATCGCGATACAGTACGTTATTAGTGGGACAGTTGGTTACGAAATAAATACAACAGTATTTCCTTTTTGCGTCGGTGATACTATTTAGTGCAAGAGGAAAATAAACTGAATAAACAAAGCGATGGGTGTAGCTCTGTAGCCTGATATTGTTTAAGGCAGTCAGTGCTCAAGCTCGTATTTCCTTAGGTTCCATGAGCCAAGTGTGTTTTGCTTCGTTGATCCGTGTTAAGAGCCTCAGCTTTACTACACAACAGAAGTTATCGGAATTAATTTGTCATTCATCTATATATGTATTTCTGTGCTTCAACAACTAGGTAGGTACCATTTGTAGCTCTGATGTTGTGCAGAATTACTATGGTGGACTGTTGTGTCTATGGCAAGTTGTACCACAGAGCAATCAATGTCTCGATTGATGCGTGTTTCTCCACAGCTCAATCTTTGTTAGGGTTTTTGTGCATACAGGCTATATTATCGTAGTTTGCTTCACCTTTTAGCAACTTGTTACTTTAGGTCTGTAACGCGACACTGAACAGCTGGAGATCGTCGTGTTATGGCGACCGTGTGACGGCACTTGATGAATTACAGGAATGAGAAGGTAAAAGATGCATTCACGTGCATTGTGATGTAACGACTCGTTTTAACTCAGTAGCTTGCAGCTAAAATATAAAGATTCATACATTAAAGTTTTACCTTTAATGGAAGATAAAAGCCATAGAAAACAACCAATCGGACGTCGAAAGTGCTCTGAGACTACATAACCGCCTGTCTCGGCCCGCATTGTGAGTTAAAAGATGTTATAAATCTTATTTTACCGTTTATTAACTCAAGCGTTCTGTACAGCTATTGTGTTCTATTAAGTTCTCTATAACGACTGACTGACCCACAGAGAAGATATTTTCCTCCTCACTCGCTCATACAACGCTACGAGGCTATGACCACTTCTACGTTGTTATATCAGCTTAAGGATATATGAACTTTTAGTGTGCACAGTTTTGAGGACAAGTAATGTAGTTTTAAGAGCCAAGATAATATTCTTTGTTCTGTTTTATATGATTTGGAAAAATGAATTCATCCGTCTTATTGTTTTAACTCAAGAGGGCACAGAAACATAAAAGTCTTTATTGTACACTTTTTGACGACCAGTGATAAACTGTTTTGATAAAATAGTAATATTTTTTATACATTAAGAACACTAAAACTCAAATTGATATAAATTTGTATGATAGTTAATAAATATACAGTTTGTTGTGGTGTTTATATTTTACGCTCCTCAGCTTCTGCTTAATTTGGGCCAGAGATGTGTTAAGTTTTTCTCCATAACTTATGGCGTAAGAAAACATATAGCTCATCCACATAAGATTAAAACATGATGCAGCTTGTAATGCCGTCGAGAGCGTCATACAGTTTAACCATAACTAAAACACCCTAACGCTACCTTGGGAGTGGGGGGCTAAGTTAGGTTAGGTTAGCATTAGGTTAAATTAGGCCAAATTAGGATAGGTTCGGTTAATTTCACATGAGAATAGATTAGGTTGGGTTAGATATGGTTAAGTTAGGTTAGCGTTTGGGTGGTTAACCTTAAGGTGAAATAAACTTGGGGGGGCTAATCTTCACCTGATCGATTATGACACAAGCACTCTAGGTTAGGTTATGTTAGAATTAGGATAGATTAGGTTAAGTTAGGTTAGTGTCTGCTGAGATTTTATTTTACGTATAACTTAACAAATAAACATCGTGTAGGGAAAGATCAGTTAAGTATTGTTGTTAAAATATCAAAAGGCAGCGTGTGTTAGTTAATTGCCTTATATAAATTCCTTAATAACATGTCATAGGTGAGGAAGGTGAGAGGTGAGGAAGATGGGAGGTGAGGAAGATGGGAGGTGAGGAAGATGGGAGGTGAGGAAGATGGGAGGTGAGGAAGATGGGAGGTGAGGAAGATGGGAGGTGAGGAAGGTGGGAGGTGAGGAAGATGGGAGGTGAGGAAGATGGGAGGTGAGGAAGATGAGAGGAGGAAGATGGGGAAGGTGAGGGTGAGGAAGATGGGAGGTGAGGAAGGAGGTGAGGAAGATGGGAAGGTGAGGAAGATGGGAGGTGAGGAAGATGGGAGGGAGGAAGATGGGAGGAGGAAGATGAGAGGTGAGGAAGATGGGAGGTGAGGAAGATGGGAGGTGAGAAGATGGGAGGTGAGGAAGGTGGGAGTTGAGGAAGATGGAGGAGGAAGATGGGAGGTGAGGAAGATGAGAGGTGAGGAAGATGGGAGGTGAGGAAGATGGGAGGTGAGGAAGATGAGAGGTGAGGAAGGTGGGAGTTGAGGAAGAAGGAGAGGTGAGGAAGGTGAGAGGTGAGGGGGGTGGCTCATACATCACCTCACAGTAGAAGAAATATTGTACCTCACCACTTAACTGAGTCAATGTCACCACGTGTACTTGAGACACTACATTATACTGAACCAATGCCGTTATATTCAACCAACGCCCTTATACTGAACCAACGCTATTATACACAGAATAAACGCCATTATACAGAATAAACGCCATTATACAGAATAAAACGCCATTATACCGAACCACGCCATTAAACTCAACCAACGCCATTATACTGAACCAACGCCATTATACAGAATAAACGCCATTATACTGAACCAGCGCCATTAAACTCAACCAACGCCATTATACTGAACCAACGCCATTATACAGAATAAACGCCATTATACTGAACCAACGCCATTACTGAACCAACGCCATTAAACTCAAGCACGCCATTATACTGAACCAACGCCATACAGAATAAACGCCATTATACTGAACCAACGCCATTATACTCGAACCAACGCCATTAAATCAACCAATCATTATACTGAACCAACGCCATTATACAGAATAAACGCCATTATACTGAACCAATGCCATTATACTGAACCAACGCCATTATACAGAATAAAACGCCATTATACTGAACCAGCGCCATTAAACTCAAAAACGCCATTAATACTGAACCAACGCCATTATACAGAATAAACGCCATTATACAGAACCAACGCCATTATACTGAACCAACGCCATTAAACTCAAGCAACGCCATTATACTGAACCAACGCCATTATACAGAATAAACGCCATTATACTGAACCAACGCCATTATACTGAACCAACGCCATTAAACTCAACCAACGCCATTATACTGAACCAAGCCATTATACAGAATAAACGCCATTATACCGAACCAATGCCATTATACTGAACCAACGCCATTATACAATAAACGCCATTATACTGAACCAACGCTATTATACTGAACCAGCCATTAAACTCAACCAACGCCATTATACTGAACCAACGCCATTATATGAATAAACGCCATTATACTGAACCAACGCCATTATACAGAATAAACGCCATTATACTGAACCAACGCTATTATACTGAACCAGCGCCATTAAACTCAACCAACGCCATTATACAGAACCAGCGCCATTATACTGAACCAACGCCCTTATACTCAACCAGCGCCATTATTCCGCTCCAGGATACAGCTTTGATGTGTCGATAAGTAGTTCCTTTAAATAGAGAAATAAGGAATATGCACACATTGTCTCCTCACATTAACCTCGGCGCTAAAGTGGATTCTCGCCTGATTGCTTCGCTTTACTATGACGTCATTATGGATTCTCGTTTGACTACTTCGCTTTACTATGACGTCATTATGGATTCTCGTTTGACTACTTCGCTTTACTATGACGTCATTATGGATTCTCGCTTGACTACTTCGCTTTACTATGACGTCATTATGGATTCTCGCTTGACTACTTCCTTTACTATGACGTCATTATGGATTCTCGCTTGACTACTTCGCTTTACTATGACGTCATTATGGATTCGCTTTGACTACTTCGCTTAACTATGACGTCATTATGGATTCTCGTTTGACTACTTCGCTTTACTATGACGTCATAGGATTCTCGCTTGACTACTTCGCTTTACTATGACGTCATTATGGATTCTCGCTTGACTGCTTCGCTTTAAAACCACGACGCCAAGGTAGATGGAATCACTTGTAAATTAAACACCTCAGTATATTTCACTTAGAATAAACCGGCCTAACACAACCTGGTGGGAGTTAGGTTAGGTTAGGTTAGGTTATGTTTGGTTAGATTAGGTTAGGTTAGGTTAAGGTAGGCTAGGTTAAGTTGGGTTATGTTAGATTAGGGTAGGATAGGTTATGTTAGGTTACGCTGTGTTAGGTAAGGTTAAATTAGATTAGGCTATTTTAGGTTAGATTAGGTTAGGTTAGGTTAGGATAGGGTAGGATAGGTTATGTTAGGTTACCCTGTGTTAGGTAAGGTTAAATTAGATTAGGCTATTTTAGGTTAGATTAGGTTAGGTAGGTTAGGATAGGGTAGGATAGGGTGACCAAAACACCAGAGGCTGCTCTGTAGGGGAGGTGACCCACGGCAGGAAGAAAACTAATTTAAAAGTTTGACGTCAATACTTCAAGGTAGCTGAGTGGCCTTTGAACCTTCCATGACTTGATGATTAGATTAACTAGGTGTTTAAATCTCGTGGCCTTAGGATTTTGTTAATATAAACTTTAAATTCTTATGATCATGAGAGAGAGAGAGAGAGTACAGTAACCTTCATCTCTTCCATATTGCGACGCCCCTTGAACACTCCTTGACACCAGGTCCCTGTATTTAACGCCAACAAAACTACACCACATGCAACTGAAGGGAAATAAAATAAAAAAAAACCTTTCTTAATTTAGCAGAAATAATGGGTCATAATTATAGTGGAGGTAATGGATTAGTGTGGGGTTCTTATGGTCGCTTCTGGTACAGGGAATCCGGATTGGTGACGTTCGTGGGAAATGTCAACAAAATCTCGTGAATATTAGTTGTTTATCTTCCCTTCTCCCTCTCACCCCCCTTCTTCTTCTTCTCTCGCTTTCTTTTTATCTCTCTCTCCTACCGTCTCTTCCTCTTCCATACCTCCTTCCTTCTACCTCCCTCCTCCTCCTCCTCCCTCCCCTTCCTCTCCTCCTCTTCCTCCCTCCCTCCCTCCTCCCTCCCCCTCCCTCCTCCCTCCCCCCAATGACCTATACACTAATATATATATTTTTTACATCATTTTTTATTTATTCTTTTCAATCACCTCTTTTATTTCTCTCCACGTTTTTTTTCTTCTGTCATATCTCCCTCTTTCTCTCGTTATGCTTAATTATCTCTTTCTCTCTAATGTAGTTGTTTCCCTGTGCTTCTGTTTTTGTGGAATTATTATTTTCTTTTTTTTTGTGTGTGTGTGTTTAACTCTCTCTCTCTCTCTCTCTCTCTCTCCTGAAACTCACGCCCCAAAACACCATTATAACGAGTAGAAATCAAAGAGAGAGAGAGAGAGAGAGATGCCATTTGTTGTATCATACTGCGACGATAACAGGCCAGCAGGGAGGAGGAAACAGCACAAGATAGAGAGGCAAGATGATAGGAAATGATAGCGACTGTGGGGAGGGGAAGGAGACAGGAATAGAAGGAGGAGAAGAGAAGTGGAGAAGGATGGCTCACTCAGCTTTAGGCCGTCCGTCATCCATGGAAGGAGTGGTGGGTGAACCAGACGACCCTAACCCAAGGTATGACAATTTCACGATGTGGTACGAAGGCTTGAATTTTCCACCTCACCTCACCTCACCTCACTTGGGTTCGCGTTCTCTATTTCCTCTAATTAATCATTCTTACTTTTTTTGTGTGTTTATCGCGGGTGTTTTCCCTCACTAAACGTATATTTCTGGAGACTAGTTATACTGTAGGGGTATCGAGATATTAATGTTGTCTAGCACTCAGGATGGAAGGAAACTCTAATGTGGTTTTCTTGTATAATATATAAGTTATATGATAGACAGTCTGGTGCTGGAGGTGCTGTGTGGTGAGGGGCTGCTTGGTAGAGACGTGCGGTGAGTAGCTTGTTGAAGGAGGTAGATGTGCAGGAGCTTCGTTAGAGAAGATGTTGCCTGTTGCTGGATTCCTGTTGAATGAAATGTTAACAGCGTGGAGCTTGCTGGAGGAGATGTTGCTTGTTCAGGAAAATGGGCAGAATGAGAGTTAGTTGGTGAGGAAGCCAGAGAAGGACATGCTCGCTGGCGGGAGGAGGACCGCCAGGCAGGCGGAGGAGAGGCAGGGTCGCCAGGCAGCGGCAGAGGAGGAGGTGTTGCTTGTTCAAGAAGATTGGTCAGACTGAATCTCAAGGGAGAGACAGAGCT